GCACAGAAGAGTCTTACTACCATATTTGTAATTACCTTGTCTATTAGACTTAAGATATTTTATGACCTAAAGATTAGACAGTTCAATATAGGCTGGACCTAAAAAAAAAAAAAAAAAAAAAAAATCACAAAGACGCAAGCTAGCTTTTGAAAAGGGAAGTTTTAACCTTCAGATGACTTTTCGTCAGGATGTGCCATGTATTTAAATGCTTAATTTGCAGAAGTAGTGGAGAATTACACATCACTCAAAAGTAGACCAGGTTCATATATATCAATCATATAATCAATGTCTGAGGCATCTTTAATTTACAGGTTCTTTTCATGATGATGATTAATTGTTTTTGTTACTAACTGTCAGGAAGGTGAACAACCCAATTCATGATTTGATTTTGTATATAATATATTGTCGTTACTGTTAGAGTTGTTCGACCATTTTAACCAAAAAGGGGTGAGGACACAGCATCCGGGGTCTTGCTTTAGGATTTCTTTAAGTAAAATATTAATTGGATTGGGCTTAAGAAAAAGATATCCTAGCTCTATCCAAAATAGTGAACCAAACGCACCCAACGCTATTAGTGTGATTGACAAATAGTTGATCTCTACAAATCTTTTAGAAATTAGTCATATTTCAAAATTCCGGTATTTGATATACATACCAAATTACATTTTCTTATCTAAAATCTTAAAATGATTATAGATTTTTATCAGTAAAGTCAAAGTGGCTATAAATTGATGCAACTTTTATCAGCTTAAATTTTGAAATAAGAATATTTTCTAAGAAACTTTCAACTCCCAAAAATGAGTTATTGAATATAATAATTTCCAAAATTAAATTGGTTAGTGGTTTATCACTAAAATATGGAGAATTAAGTTAGCACACATCAGTCATTGCTTGAATTGATATTTTATTTTCTCTACAATTGTTCTACTGAAGAATAATATTCTCCATATACAAATTAATCCATTTTAAAAAGATAAAAAGTAAATTCGGATGCCTCCCCTTCCAGCTGGTTTTGAAGATGCTCCATCTCTTTTCAATTTTTTTCTTCATTAGAATAAATTTATATTAATTATTCTCTCCATTGTTTTTATTTTATATTAAAAGATTTGAATCATTTGCCCTTAAATTAAATTAAAAAAATTGGTCTTGTTCTATTATAATTTTTTAAATAAAGTATTTTTAGATTGTAAACCGGTGACAGAATATTTAGTTTAAGTATCATATATTGTTATTATACTCAACAATAACATTAATGGTAAGGCAAGTAGCAATGCAAATTATGATTAGACAATTATCATTTGATTTAAGGAATGTTATATTATTAAAGAGATAGGATTATCAGTGAGATAAATTACCTTGAAGATTAAAAAAAATGTTTTATAATACATGTTTGGTTAGAGTGGTAGATATAAATAATTAATATGTTTAGTTGAGTGAAATAAAAGAATTCTGGGGGACTTTTTTAATGAATTGCCTTTTTTAAAAAAAAAATTTATTATTATTTAGATTATTCTTTTAATCCCTTAACATTTAAGAATTTAGCTAAAACAACCCAGCCAACAATAAAACTTTAAAATTTAACAAAAAACCCCTAGTAACCCAAGACGATTGCCGGTCGTCGGCCATCACCGGCCGCCGTTGGTAGTCACTGGAATGGTGCACGACCGGTCGGTCGTGTGTCGATCTAGCCTTTTATTTCCAGCCATTGATATGGCCATCTTCCACCATGGATCTAGTCGAAAACGGCTAGATCGACACACAACCGGCCAGATTTGGCCAATTATAGGCCGTTTTGGCGACTGCTAGCAGTGGTGGCCGATGGTTGGCAATTGTCTTGGGTGGCGGGGGTATTTTATTAAATTTTAAACTTTTATTGTGACTGGGGCATTTTGTTAAATTTTAAACTTTTATTGTGACTGGGGTGTTTTAGCTAAATTCTCAAATGTATGGGGGGTTAAAAGTAATTTTGCATAGTTCGGCTAATTGTTATTTCATAGACATATAAGAGCATTTGTGTTTGAAATGTTAATTAACTAAGGGTAAAACGGGAATAAAAATTGGATTACCCTGATAATCTTAAAATAACACTCTTTCACTTGGTAATCAGATTACTTCTGATATAACCTATAATAAACACTATTAATATTGAAAGATTATCGGAATCTTTGATTATCTAAAAACCAAACATAATAATATCCCATTTTTTAGATAAATTACTAGCTTAATCTTCTATTACCGTTAACCAAACGGCCCATAGTAATATCTAATAATTAGTAATTAATACTCTCCAGGATTACGAATGAAGGAAATCTTCCACAGGAAGACCAAAAATTACTCTCTTAATTAACTCTCATTTATAAACAAAATCAATAAAAATCTTTTCTCATAAAGGTTTTTGTTAAATAAGATTTAGATTACGTGAATGAGATTGAAGGTATCCAAGAATAAAGTGATATATCTGTAAAGGAAAAAGAATAAGAATGAGTGAAACCATGAGCCTGAAAGAGAGAAAGCGGTTTTTGAGAAACCAGGATTCTCCAGGGTTTGCCTATATAAAGGATTGAAGGTTATTTGGATGTTCATAGAATGGAGTAATTAATTAGGCTGAGTTGAAATGGGAGATTAGGCCTCCAGAGGCCAGTGGAAATGGGTGGATGGGAATGATGATCCTCATCTTCTTCTTCTCAATATTAATCATCGTTCCCATGCCACCCATTTCTATTGTTTCTGGAGATTTCTCCCTTTTTCCCTTCATGCTGTTCATCATATTCTTTTCTCTCTTTCTTTCTCGAGCGTTTGCAGAAGTTTTATAAATTAATTAAACTTATTGTTACTGCTTAGTTTGAATAACATGTTTTTTTATTTGCAGCAACAGAGGTATCTGTTAACATTAAGTGATTTATTATTTTAATATTCTTAAAATATTTCGTAGGGGGGAATGATTTACACCTACTCAAAGTTTGCTTTAAAGACAAATTAGTACTTAACAAGTTTTGAAATGATAAATACCTAATTTCCGTCCAAATCTATTAACTAAAATGGTATTAACGCCATTCTATCATTTTTGTGAGGTAATTTTGACTTTTTCTGTTTTAGGGTTTGTGCATAAAAAAATAAAAAAGTTAAAAAAAAAAAAATTGCATTAATAAAATATTAAAAAAAATCCATCCAAATCTCTATCTTTCTTCTTCTTTTCCCCCGTCTCTTTCTCTTACTCTCTCCCTTCTCTTTCTAGGCAAGAACCCGACACCAGAATATGGACTAGAACCTGGCCAAATCGAAAGCCTCTCTCCTCTCTCTTTTCCTGTCTTCATCTTCTTCATCTCTATCATAAAAGGGCAAAAAAAGGGGGTCTTTTGCAAAGCTGTCGCACTTCCCCACCCATTTTCCAGAAGCCCCGTCACCGAAAACCTTTCCTCTCCCCGCCAATCGTCTTTTTGGTGTGCCCTCTCCAAAACCCCCATGTCGTGGTTTGCTCACATTTCACCGCCCATTGAATTCCTTGGGTTTTTGTTGTTTGTTGAATTGGGATTGATTGGTGTTTTTTGGAGTTTCTGATGGGAAATTGATGGTTGGAGATTAATTGGGAGTGTTTTTTTTATTTTTTTGTGTTTTTGTGTTTTTGTTTGATTTTTGGGGATTTCTGATCGGTTTTGGCATTGATGATTGATTTTCCAAGTTTTGGCACATGACTTGTTTGAGGTTTTGCCCCAAATCTTATGTGTCTTACGTGTTTTGGTTCTTTTGAGTGCTTGAGAGTGGTTCTTCGGGATTTTTTGTATTGAATCTTTTGGTGATTTGAGTGAGGTTTTTTGGGGGCTTTGATCGTTTTTCCTGGTTCTAGCGAGAGATGAAGACAGAATTTTAATTAAAATTAATTATAAAAATAAAATAATTAAAATTGAGAAGAAATTTTTTTATAAAATTAATATTGAAGAGAGAAAATGGACACGTGACCAATGTAGGATGTTATATTTTTTTTGTTGGATATAAAATTACTATATTGTCCTTTTTTTAAACGAACTTTACTAACAGATTTGGACGGAAGGTAGATAATTGATGTTTTCAAACATTTTGGGTACCAAATTGTCTTTATAGTAAACTATGGGTGCTGGGGGCATGTCGTCGGGGAATTTAACAAGAAGGCAGGATCATAAATAATCATGTGCAATATTCTTGAATTTGTAGTCTTAATTAATGCTTTTACCAGATTTTCATTTATATATCCTAAATTTTCGGAATGTCAGAGATATTTCATTTTCTAAGGGACGTCACTGCAAATAAATAATTTACCATACGCTGAACCAAACCACCACGAGGTTTGTGGGACAAAATCTTTGTTTCTGACTGGGGATGCCAGATGACAAGTCGTCCGCATCTGGGATCATGACGATTTCGTCGATTTGCAGCAGGACATATTCTTCCCAGTTTTGCAAATAAGAAGGCATCCTATATATAGAGAAGCGGATCCAAAAAAAATTATTAGGGTATGTCAAAATAAAATTTAATTATATATTAATATTTTTATCTATTAATATTTTTATTCGAATGAGTTAAAATCTAGAAATTATATATATTAGTATTTTAAAAAAAAAAATTAAAGGTGGGCCAAAACTAAGCTGGATCCACCGCCCCTGCATATGTATATGTTTTGAACATTAAGAACTTTACAAGTTTACTCTCTTCAAATATACAATTTGCAGTAGACTTGAACATTACGAACTTTGATGAGGACCGGCTACTTATGTCGTCGTTGAGTTCTTCACTCATTGGTTGGTAACGTTTGACTATAAGTTAATTAATTAATTAGTTAATCTGAGTTATTATGTTTATTCATTGGATTATTAGCCGTGAACTATTTTTGATGAAATTAATCACTTTAGTTATGCAATGTTTGGCTTTAATGGGTTGAGAACGAGAGTGATAATGCACATGGGAATTGAAGATGATTTTTGTTTCAATGGTTTTTGTAGGTTGTGAAAATCCAAGACTTTTTGTTAGCACATATGGAATTGAAGCTGATATATGTGGTGGTTTTTTGTTGATATATTAGTTTGAATGATTGGAAAGTATATATATATATATATGTGTGTGTATGATTTAGACACCAACGACCACGTACGTGCAAAGTTTTAAGCAGATCTTAGAAATTATACGTGATATGATTGTGAAAGTTAGGATAAGGTTATAATAAAGAGCAAAGACTTAATAATAAATAAGACAACGAGAATTTTATTGTAGTTCGGATGCTTAAAGCGATTCTTACATCCATTTTCTTTTATATAAGTGTATTACAAGAGGTCACTATAGCGAACAGCGAACAGAGGTATAAGGACTATATATTCAGAGAGAATATTAAGTCAATCTCTTTTCCATAGGTTGTCTTTGCCATTGATTGTTATGAAAATCAGAGATCTCAAATTTGTGAGGGAGGGTCCTCTATTCATAGTATTGAATCCAAAATGATGATTACAAGTCTGCAAGTGGATAGGTGCTGTGCAAGTTTTTTCTTACCTCCCATTGGCTGATAACCTAGAAAATATTCCCAAATTATATAGGGTTTGGACAGGTGTGAGGTTCCCATTCACTTGTAGACAAAACCTGATTCTACTGGGTTAGTGGCAGCCATATCATCTCTGTATATGGGCGACGTGACAGATCTTGTATGACACAAAACCTTTATGAACTCTGATTGGTGCTTGCTTATATAAGCTTACATCAGCCTTGATTTTTTTAGGCATAACAGTATGTATAATGCATAACAATATGTATATTGGATGACTAGTCATCCATGATTCGGAGAACTGACCGTCAAAAGTCGATGACAAACTCCTCCTAAGTTCCAAATTCCAATATTAATGTCATATATATTTGTATCGGAGCAACATGGCCAAGTTTGTGTTTGAGGAAACAGTTAAGTCATTTGCTAATTAATCTTCTTCATCTAACAATATATGTATTAAACAAAGAAAAGTGTCGAGAAGGTAAACTAGTAAATGTCTTGAATTGTTGACCAAAATTTGTTTTTAATTTTTCATGAGAAAAGGTCATTATTTTTCGTTTCTCAAAGATTGCAGGGTTTGGTGAGAGTTTTAGTTTCGAACTCAGGCTTACAAAGCAAGTTGAGAGATTTCTGGATTATAAACATAAAAAAAAAAAAAAAAAAAAAAAATTTGTTGCTAATTATAAAACATTACTTTTACCAGTCTCAACTCCAAATGAAATTGTGTAATGGGAAATGACTTCTTGCAATTCACAAAGACCATCTCTCTCCTTGTGGTTGGATGACAAACCCTTTAGTCATTGGGATTGGCTATCCCCAAGAGATCTTGTGCTCGAGCCACAGAAGAGGTACCTACCATATTTGTGTAATTACCTTGGTCTATTAGATTTGTAAGATATTTTATGACCCTAAAGATTAGACAAGTTCAAATATAGGCTGGATACCTTAAAAAAAAAAAAAAAAAAAAAATTCACAAAGACTTGCTCAAGCTAGCTTTTGAAAAGGGAAGTTTTAACCTTTTCAGATGACTTTTCAGCTCAGGATGTGCCATGTATTTAAATGCTTAATTTGCAGAAGTAGTGGAGAATTACACATCACTCAAAAGTAGACCAGGTTCATATATATCAACTTCATATTAATCAATGTCACTGAGGCATTCTTTAATTTACAGGTTCTTTTCATGATGATGATTAATTGTTTTCTTGTTACTTAACTGTCAGGAAGGTGAAACAACCCAATTCATGATTTGATATTTTGTATATAATATATATGTCGTTACTGTTAGAGTTGTCGACCATTTTAACAAAAAGGGGTGAGACACATGCATCCGGGGTCTTGCTTTAGGATTTCTTTAAGTAATTAAATTATTAATTGGGATTGGGCTTAAGAAAAAGATATCCTAGCAATATTAGGTTTTTCTACTTAAATCTAGTATATAAACTTGTTATTCTCTTCTATGAGTGTAATAACAAATTATAAACAAATACATTCATTGTAACGAGAGAAATAAGATAGTATTCTAATAATATTGACTCAATTGACACAGTGACGGACCCAGGATTTTTGTTGAGGGGGGGCCTCCGCGGCTCTGTCATTGTTTGCAAACAACTAGTGAAAACTTTAGAAAATCACTAAACCTTAAACAAAGAAAATAATACAATATCAAGAACTTGAAAGAAAAGAATACAATAATACAATATTTTTCTATTTGAATAAATCCATGAGAAACAAAATTTTGAGTAAATGTGTTGAGTAAACTTTGAGCAAAACCTTCTTTTAATTTAATTTTTTATTTTTGGCTTCCAAAGATTATAATATAAATTTTCATGACTTTGATCAGACCTAGCCTAAGTCAAAGTCAATCAAAACTTAAATCAAGTCAACGTTGCGTTGACTTTTAATATGAATTAATGAAAAAAAGGGGGAATTTTCTTGATAGTAACTCAAATTTCTTTAATAATTTTAAGTAACTAAACGATGATATTTGAAAGGTAGGAAATTGATAGGTGAAGGGTGAAAAATAACCTCCTTTAAAATATAATCAATGTTTTAATTTGGGAAAGCAGAAACATTCTTAGACACAAAACACAAAATAAAGTCACAAGATTCATGTCTTTTTCCCTCAAATTAGAATAAAAAACCTCAAAAAAAAAAAAAAAATGATTCAACCCTAAAATAAACTAAATTAAAATGGAACTAATTATAACACCTTGAATAGTGAAAGCTTCAACAATTTTAGTCTTCAAAAGTTTTAAGAGCGAATAGCATGAGAAAGAGAAAGAGAGAATGAGAGAGTAAAAAATTATGGAGATAAAATCATAAAAAGCAGGTGGAGCTGTGGAGAAGAAGAGTGGAGAGAGTTTTAAACTTTTAATATGATGTGGACTTGAAATATATATATTAATTGTAAGTTTTTTGTAAGTCTATATATATATACACACACACAATAGTTCTCATTTTCAAAAAATCTGAGAGTAGACTTGAGTATATATATTAATATCAATTTTTTGTAGGCCTATAAATTACTAATTTTTTTTCCGCCCTGGAACTGATGTAGCTTGTTAATTGGGTTAAACAAAGTTAATTGTGCGTGTTTTCTTTCTCTTTATTAGTTTGATATTTGTTATTATTTACTTATTTGATTTTGTATTATGCTCTAGATTGTTTTAGTTGCAGGCATTTGGAGCAATATTATGTTAAAAGCATATATAAAAGGAGATGACATACAATTTTGCTAATCGTCATTAGAAAGTTACTTAATTCATAATAACTGATATTGACTTCCAATTTATGAATAATAAAATAATGCAAATTAAGAAGGTTTTGACACATGGAAAGCATGATTAACATTGGTAAAAAAGAATAAAGAGCTAAGGGCCAAAATAGACAAAAATTAACAACCAGCAACGAGATGCCATTAAGGGAAACAGATTCCAAAGAAGAAGAGTACTATAATCTAATAGTTTGACACTAAATGTTGGAAGGTAGCATGACAATGAGTGGTTGCAGCAACAAAAAGGTCAAACCATGGATCCTGTAATGTAAACCATGATCCAAAGCCTTAGTTTCATGGCATTGAAGGTTGTTAATCCCTATTTATAACATATGATAATGATGCTGAAAACTCGATGTTTATTCTGATTGGTTAGGAACTGACCATTGTTCAGATTGCCTTTTCACAGCTGCTACAGTCAAGTGCCCTACTATTGGGAGTTACATAAACAGAAGTCATTCCTTAAATATAGGTTACATCATGCTTCCTTCTTCGATTTGCTAGTGAGAAAATCATCAAGTGACATTATCCCCGGATGTTGAGAAAATGACTAGAGAATTCTCATTTTAAGTAACCAACAAAAGTATAAAGTCAGCCTAGCTACTCTTAAGTAATGATTTTGGATCGGATCTCAGTTCATATATAAATAGTGAACTTATGATTTGAATGATTATATGCAGAAAGGCGCTGACGTTTGTGAATTTGAAGCATGGAATTCAAAAGATTTGAATGCTTAGTTCTGGTGTTTTCTTGTGTTATTTCTCCTCTATTAACATTTGTAGCAGCGCATGACACAATGGATCCATATGGGAGCATTAGTATCAAATGGGATATCATGTCCTGGACCCCTGATGGCTATGTGGTGAGCTTCATCTTAATCTGTTTAATTTTCCACTAGTAGCACCCGCAGCAATGTTTCCAAGCATTATTCATTACTACTGCGACTTAAAGAAATAGTATGCAAAAGGCTTGCCTTAAACACTTAAGTTTAGACCTTGTAATGTGAATGATTGAGCAGTGATCACTGAGGTTTGTTGAGCTGATGTTCCCTTCTGATACTGGAACCTGAATAATTTGAAATTTTTAGTGTATCACAGTTTGCATCTATAGCTTGTGCTTTGGCAACATCATTTATCAGTTTGCATTCATGCATAAAATAAACATATAATGAGATGGTTACAATGACGATTTTCAGGCAGTGGTAACGATGACCAACTACCAAATGTATCGACCAATCATGAGTCCTGGCTGGACCTTAGGATGGACATGGGCTAGGAATGAAGTTATTTGGTCAATGGTGGGAGCTGAAGCCACTGATCAAGGAGACTGTTCCAAGTTCAAAGGAAACATTCCCCACTGTTGTAGGAGGACTCCTGCAATTGTTGATTTGTCTTCTGAAGTCCCTAACACCAAAAGATTTACCCATTGTTGCAAAGATGGCGAACTAGCCTCTTGGGGAAAAGATCCTGAATCTTCTGTTTCCTCCTTTCAGCTCAGTGTTGGACGTTCTGGTAACTCAAATCAAACAGTGAGACTGCCCAAGAATTTTTATTTGCTTGGTCCAGGACCAGGCTACACATGCAGTGCCGCGACCCTTGTGCCACAGTCTACATTCTTCTCATCTGGTAGTAGGAGGAAAACATATGCAATGAGTGAGTCATACATGATCAATTTAATTGATTTGAATTGTATCCATGTTCCGGTTTTTGAATTTCCTTTATAAGATCCTATAATCTTTAACTCCTTATTTTTGGTTTCACAGTGACGTGGACTGTGACCTGCACTTACTCGCAGACATTAGCGTCTAAGAACCCAAAATGTTGTGTTTCCTTGTCCTCTTTTTACAATCCTAAGATCACTCCCTGTCCATCTTGCGCCTGCGGTTGCCAGAGTGAAAATAATTGTGTAATGTAAGTGGTCTATTTGAGTTTCAGATGAAATCTTAGACTACAAGTAATGTGCAATCATGTTACTCTAAACTTGGTTGCAGATAACTTGTAGTGTAAGATATTTCATAATGTTTGCGGAACAGTTTTTAAATTCAGACAAATTAGGCCATATCCAAATTGATAATTATAATTGATCTATGAAATTGGGTATAAATGCAGAAATGTTCCTAAAATTTCAAGTATGGCAAGACTAGACAATCCAATTGACTACAATTTGCCTCTCATACAGTGCACTCAACACATGTGCCCCATCCGGGTGCATTGGCATGTGAAGGCCAACTACAAAGAGCATTGGCGTGTGAAGATTACCATAACCAATTTCAACTACCAGATGAATTACACACACTGGACTCTTGTTGTTCAACATCCAAATCTCAGTAATATCACCAACGTTTATCGCTTCATTTATGAGCCACTCAACCTATACCAATCCAAGAGTAAGTCCACTCAAGGCTCTTAATACAATCCTAGTATCTCAAGTTCCAGGAGTCTTAACTAAACTAATGTTCAATCTATGCAGATGACACTGGCATGTTTCATGGAATAGAGTATTATAATGACTTGTTAAGGGAAGCTGGGCCAAAGGGTAATGTTCAATCAGAAATGATTCTTCAAAAGGACAGAAGTACATTCACATTGGAGAAAGGATGGCCTTTTCCTTTGAAAGTTTATTTTGACGGTGATGAATGCATGATGCCTCCACCTGATTCTTATCCATTCCTGCCCAGCTCTGCCCATGTCAGCCCAATTGCATCTTCAACAGTGGCCGCTTTTCTGCTTATGATAGTGCTAGCAGCTTGGTAAAGTTCTATCAGAGATTGGAATGGGAAAGCGAATAGCATTTTTCAGGGATGGGAGTGTTCAATCCAGGATTGATGAACTGGTTACACATAAACTTGTAACAAATTCTGAAACTGGAACTGTATATAGATTGAAAAAACTTAGAATAAAACATACCCTTCAGATTCATTGATATATGCAGGTTGAAAATTCTTCTGTGTTTGGGACAGTAGTCTGATTAGGTGTTCTCTTTGTACTTTATTTTCAAAAAATTTCCCTCTTTCTGCGGAGATTAACTCAAAAAAAATGGTGGCATGATCATCCTCAGTGGAGTTGACTAATTGAAACCTTCACCCCTTCCATAAAAATAAAATATATAGAAGAAAGAATCAGGCTTAGTTACTATTTTAATTGCTTATGTTGTAGGTTGCAGTTTTCCAAGGCTTTTATAATCTCTTCGTAGACTATAATCTCCTAAACCACATGCATGAAATGGTTCAGGTTCCATGGAAGCGACTAAAATTTCGGATCTCAAGATTGATGTCAAAATAACATTAAATTTGTAACAAGACACTTTTGATTTCAAATGTCAAACATAGAATTTATAATGTCAAACGTGAACTTACAGATATGACAACAAAAAGAAAATCAATATTAATTATAGTCTAACCCACTTTTCCTAATTATCAAGAGGAGCCAAAACTTGGGTTGACTGGGTTGTATATGGAATTATGGATTGATATTTCAACCCTTTCATAACACCTGATATTTCCTCGAAAAAACCCTGATCTTATCTAAAAGAATGGAGCAAAGAGTTGGCCCAAAACCTGGTAGTTCAAACATGAGTACTGAACAAAAGAAAAAGGCGATGGCTATTAAATAATTCTAAGTCAAAGTACTCTTCTAAGAATTGGAGACTTTAACAAAGCATCCAAATCTCTGAGCAGCATTGCGGAAAGAGTTTCATTCTCCTTCATTCTTGAAGCAGCCTCTGAATAATAGTTTGGACTTTGGTAAGTAGTAGCTAGTAGTAACATCCAGTTGTTTTAATTTTCTTTGTGGCCTGTTATTTATATGTTTGTACATTTATATATTTTGGTTTTTTTTTTTTTTTTTTTTTTTTTGGTAGCAATATCTGGATTCTTAGCTTTAGCATTGGTTCTGAATTGTTTTAGATTAAATTTTAAGTCACTGGGAATTTAGTAAGACTTTCAGTACTCTTGAATGATGTATTCATTTCTTGCAGAAAGGTCCTGGTAATTAGTTGTGAACTTGAAGCATGGTTTTCAACAGATGTTCGCACACCATTGTGTCAGCTTTTGTTGTTGTTCTGATATGTTCTCATGCGGGTAAGTTATAATTCATGAAACTTCTTGTTGAAAGATTGATCCTGTTTATGCATATTTACTTACCATTTTCAATTTCCTGTTTTTCCTCTACTGTAATTTAGTGGCATACGACCCTCTGGATCCAACTGGGAACATAACCATCAAATGGGATGTAATGTCTTGGACTCCAGATGGTTATGTGGTAAGTATCATTTCAATTTGATAACTTCTGTGTTCTTTCTAATTTTTTGAAAGAAGTCACTTTGGATTTGACATAACTCTTATTGTGGAAGTAAAAATATCACCATTATGTTCAGGCAGTGGTAGATATGACCAACTTCCAAATGTATCGGCCGATCACGAGCCCTGGCTGGAAATTAGGATGGACATGGGCTAAGAAAGAAGTGATTTGGGCAATGGTTGGGGCACAGACTACTGAACAAGGAGACTGTTCCAAGTTCAAAGGAAACATCCCTCATAGTTGTAAGAGAAATCCTGAAGTAGTTGATTTGTATCCTGGAGTCCCTTACAACCAACAAATAGCCGATTGCTGCAAAGGCGGCATTGTGGCATCATGGGGACAAGACCCTTCTGCTGCAGTTTCTTCCTTTCAGCTAAGTGTTGGAAGTGCTGGTACTACAAATAGAACAGTGAGACTGCCAAAGAATTTCACTCTTCTTGCTCCTGGAAAAGACTACATATGCGGCCCTGCAAAAATTGTGCAACCCACAACTTTTCTCTCAGCTGATAGGCGTCGAATATTTCGAGCAATGAGTAAGTTCAGTTCTTGTTATAGTTTAATTATAAGTTCCCGTTTTATGTATCAGTTTAGTTATCTTTTTACCCCTTAAATGTGTTGTTTGTAGTGACATGGACTGCGACATGTACTAATACAAAGTCCCTGACTCCTCATAAGCCAACCTGTTGCGTCTCAATCTCATCTTATTACAATTCTAAGGTCACCCCTTGTCCAACCTGTTCCTGTGGCTGCCAGAAGAATAAAAGTTGTGTCAAGTGAGTCCATTTTCGGATTATGAATCTACCTGAAGTGCTTATACTTCAGTTTCTTTTCGCTATTTATAATCGAGGGATAATGCAGGAGTGCTGTGGGAAAGAAAAAATCAACCGGTAATGCACCATTGCTGCAGTGCACAAAACATATGTGCCCCATTAAGGTGCATTGGCATGTGAAGAACAACTCCAAGGAGTACTGGCGTGTGCAGATTTCGATCACCAATTTCAACTACCGATTCAATTACACACAGTGGACACTTGCCGTTCAACATCCGAATCTCAACAACGTCACTAAAGTATTCAGCTTTGTCTACAAGCCAGTTCGGCTCCCATACAAGTCAACAAGTAAGTCATGCATACGACAGATTATTACATTAATGCAGCAATATTTTCTGATGTTGAATGTGAGACTAAGTGTTTGACATTTTGAAAATGCAGTTGACACTGGCTTGTTTTACGGTATCAAATCCTATAATAATGTGCTAATGGAAGCTGGAGCAGATGGGGAAGTTCATTCAGACTTGATTCTTGGAAAGGATATAAAAACATTCACATTTAAGCATGGTTGGGCATTTCCCCGGAGACTCTACTTCAATGGGGATGAATGCTTAATGCCATCTCCTGCAGACTATCCACAGTTGCCAAACTCTACGCATGCAAATTCAATTGCTTAATCTCCAATGGCTGTTCAATAAATGTTTTGCTTTCTATGTTTCTAAAGATTTAAACGGGAAAAGATGAGTGTCTTCCTGGTTTTCATGACAATTTCTGTAGGATATGTGACTTGTTAAATGGGGTTCAATAAGAAAATGGAATAATTTTACAATTTTTATGATGTGCTCGCTGTCCACTGAAATAGTAGGGAGCAGCCACATAGAATTTTCCTAAATGTTTCCCCAGCTTAGGGAAGGCTTTGCAATTTTTAGAACTCTAAAGTCTGGACAAAAATGGAGCCAGAGAAAGAATTTCAGAAGCTATTTGCTTCAGGACAGTTATCTCTTATCCCAATACAGCACAATCAGTGATTAAAAAAAGTTTAATTTTCATTGCTGTTTAATGAGTTATTCTAATTTTCAAGCCTCAAAATGTTCAAATTTCCTTTTCATATGAACTATTATCTATTGTTGTTATATCAATAATATTATGCTAATAACCACGTGATTTTAATGCTGCCTGTTTCTTACAAGTGAAAGTGACAGACCGCATCAAATTATCTTGTAAAAATGCAATTCAATCATAGTTCTGCTAGAAGTTAAATAATTTTTTTCAAAGTCATCAATCAAATGGCACTAGTGTCGGTGGCACACGGTGCACCGGAAGGAGGCAAAATCTGGAGCGAGACTGCAGCATTAGTCAAACCGTCTGTTGGGAAATCCATTCAAGTTTGAATGAAAATTCTTCTGTTGTATTTGTTATTTGAAGCAGTTAATAAGTCATGATCATCCTAACTGGAGTTGACTAGTTCTTCCATCTCTAAAAGCTCTAATTGTGCCAAAGTCAACTCCTTATACCAAACAAAATATATAACTAAACAACAGAGATTTTATTGTAAGATATGTAGGATGAAAGGTAGGATCTGGTTTCCTTCTGCTTTCAAAAGTTATTTTATGTGTTGTGAAAACTTTTGTAATGCACAATTGTTTTGTATTCAGAAAAAAAAAATGTCATCTGGGTAAATTTGATGCTGGGTTGTTGTTGTTGAGAGTAGAGTTTTTGTGGTAAAATATTTTGAAATATCCCTCGTGTTCTAGGTCATATAATCACGAATATGATTTCCTTTACAGGCCTGAATTGACACAAAAACATATAGAAACTAAAATATAAATGGATGAGAAAATGACAGGATGACAATGAAATGAAGTAGCCAACAAACCCAGTAGGTGAGCCTTCTCCATCCATTAATTCTTCCTGGTTCAACTCTTTGATTGAATAAATCTCAACATTCTGCATTCTTTGTATCTACAGCAGAGAGGTTTTCCAATTCCAGAGAACTTGAAGCATGGTTTATAACAAATATGCATCTCCTGTTGTGTCAGTTTTTGTTGTTATGATATTTTCTCATGCTGGTGAGCTTCTAATTCATGCATCAAAGTTCCAAATGGAAAGAATATTGATCCTGTTTAGGTTTAGTTAATTTACTTACATTTTTGTTCTTCTTCTGTATTGTAATTTAGCTGCATACGATCTGCTGGATCCAACTGGGAACATAACCATCAAATGGGATGTGATGTCTTGGACACCAGATGGTTATGTGGTAAGCATCATTTGAAAAAACTTGACAGGATTGAAGTGTTTTGTTTTCAATATTGACTTGAAATGATGAATTTTCAGGCGGTAGTGACGATGACCAATTTCCAAATGTATCGGCACATTATGAGCCCTGGATGGACATTGGGATGGACATGGGCGAAAAAAGAAGTGATTTGGTCAATGGTTGGGGCTCAAGCTACAGAACAAGGAGACTGTTCCAAGTTCAAAGGAAACATCCCTCACTGTTGCAAGAGAAATCCCACAGTGGTTGACTTGCTTCCTGGAGTCCCTTACAATCAACAAATTGCCAATTGCTGCAAAGGCGGTGTTGTGGCGTCGTGGGGACAAGACCCTTCAGCTGCAGTTTCTTCCCTTCAGCTCAGTGTTGGACTCGCAGGTACTACAAATAAAACAGTGAGACTGCCGAAGAATTTCACCTTGCTTGCTCCAGGAAGAGGCTACACTTGCAGCCAGGCAAAAATAGTGCCACCAACTGCTTTCTACTCGTCTGATGGGCGTCGAAGAACTCAAGCGATGAGTAAGTTTAGTTAGTTCCTATTATATTCCCACGTAACAATCATGTTCTTCTCTTTTACTTAACCCTTCAATTTGGTATTTGCAGTGACATGGAATGTGACATGTACTTACTCACAGATTCTGGCTTCTCGGAACCCAACCTGTTGTGTCTCCATGTCATCTTTTTACAACTCTACCATCACCCCTTGTAAAAACTGTTCTTGCGGCTGCCAGAACAGAAACAATTGTGTCCAGTAAGCCTTGTTCTGATGCTAAATTCCAGTTTAGAACTAAACAGAAATGTAATTCGTATCTTCTGATTGATTGCAGGAGTGGTTCAGAGATTAGAAGTGTTGTGGGAATGAACACACCAAGTAACACTCCATTGCTACAATGCACACAACATATGTGTCCTGTCAGGGTCCATTGGCATGTTAAGCTCAACTACAAGGACTATTGGCGTGTCAAGATTTCCATCACCAATTTCAACTATGCAACTAATTACACACAATGGACACTCGTCGTCCAGCATCCGAATCTCAACAATGTCACTGAAGTTTTCAGCTTTGACTACAAGCCACTGATCCCATACAAGTCCACAAGTAAGTTACACAGAAGGTTTTCAGGAATTTTAGAAAGCAAAACAGATTGAAACAATGAAACTGGTACTAAACTTTGTACATTTTGATTATGCAGATGACACTGGAATGTTTTATGGATTAAAGTTCTTCAATGATGTCCTGATGCAAGCTGGAGCAGATGGAAATGCTCAGTCAGAGTTGATTCTGGAAAAGGATGTAAACACGTTCACATTTAAGCAGGGTTGGGCATTTCCTAGGAAAGTCTACTTTAATGGGGATGAATGCATGATGCCTCTTCCTGAAGATTATCCATACTTACCAAACTCTGTTCACAGAATCCCAATATCATCATCTGCACTTGGTGGCTTTTTGCTTTTGTTATTGCTAGGCTTTTGGTGACTAATTGAATAGAGATGAAATCTTCAGGAATAGGTATATTCCTCTTTCATGCAATTCTGAAAACAAAAGGTTTCAAGTAGTGAAGTTCCTTCATTGTGTATTACACTAAAATATAAATATTTAGTTAAATTTCTCTTATTAAAAATTACATAATTATCTTTTATCGTTAATTGATGCCAATAAATGATCTAAACCCGAGTTATTTCTTACGTATAAAAATACACTGCATGCATATTCAGCGACAGACCATTAGACCACTGATGTGGCCTGCGGGGGCCATGACCACCCCTTGTAAGGAAAAATTTGAAAATTTACTCATAAAATACATCAATATTACTATATCTATTTATTTTTCCGTGAATCCCTGTTATTCCAGCTCTACTTTTGCTCTCTTAAATATGATTTTTTAGTTCCACCACTAAACATATTTATATTATGAATAATATTACTAATCCTGAAACATATTCTAAAAAATACATTCCGAATAGTATGTTATCATATGTGGTCTTGACATGTAAATAAAATAATAATATGTAAAACAATATGATAATACCACATATGGTAGCCTCAAAGGTTGGTCTAACAGTTAAAAAGATTTTCTCCTTTTGTTGACTTTCTGGGTTCGAACTATTTTAGGGTCACTTACCACATTTGTGACTTACTTTGAAACATTGGGTTGTAGGGTATTCAATGTGCTTAGGGATTAGTTGAAGTACGCACAAACTAGCCCAGACATCTCAGTCACAAAAAAAAAAAAAAAAAAAACGCTCGCTTCACATGCAACAGGCACATGGTTCGATTCCACGCACCTTCAAATACAAATAACTACCTCTGGGTGGTCAAGTGGTTCGATAGAGACTCTTGGGTAGATTACTCAAGAGGTCTTGAGTTTGAGTCTCTCCTCGGTTGCTAAGAGAGATAGTCACTAGAGATCTTACTCGGCCGATAGTTTTAGGGTCTTGGGGATTAGTTAAGATGCACGTAAGTTAGCCCAGACACCTCCGATCATCAAAAAAAAAAAAAAAAAAAAATACAGCATATAGTGACATATTATTTGGGATGTGATTTTTGGGATTAATAATATTACTGTTATATTATATATAAATGTCTGGTTGTGCTTGTTATAATATAATGTTAATATTAATCAGTTTAACAATGAAATCACCAATCTCTAAAGATATATTTGTTTTAAAAAAGAAAGTATTTCATGATGATTGGAAGATTTGATGTGAAGATAATTGCTAAAGATTGACCTCTCGCAACCTGGTGTAAATTTGCTGTAAAAGCCAAGCTATCATTGTGTTCAACTTAATGTATTCTTTACCTAATCATTCAATTTGTTTAACTAAAAAGACGGAGCAAATTAAGCTAATTAACCAATGATTATAATCATCTTTGAGAGTTCAAAATTCAAATCAACAAATAAATTTGCTCAGGATACCCATATCCTAATTGAAAATCTTTCTGGTTTTGAGTAGCCAATTAGCAACAGTTCTTGAAGCATTCTTTCACCAAGAAGTTATGAAAATTGGGTTCTTGAATTATGGATTATTCAAAGTTTTGAGATTGTGTATGATGATCACCTACAAATACAGCTACTGCATAACTTTCACTATTTTTAACGGCTTAATAAGAAGTTATGTCACTATCAGATGGCGAGAGGCCACTGGTGCCACCACCTTCCTGACTTGATAACTGTATCAAGATCTGCTACTATTAGAACAACCCAAAAACCGATCATCAACCCACTAATCCACCTTCCTACTGTACATAAATGATATGATATCTTTGACTTACAACATTGAGATTAAGAAAGTTTCTAGCAATGAACAAACAAATGGGTAGAACTCGTCGGTAAAATCAGTTTATGAGGGGAGGGTTGCAACAACGGTGGCTCGATATACCTTCAGATCATGTGTCAGGTTACCCATCCGCAACCAGGGTCATCCCAAGTGGGTGCCCAAAGTTTGGTCTTGCTCTGACACCAATTGTAGTAACTACAAATAGATATAACCCAGCCTTAAAACCGGCTTGTAAGAGTCGGGGTGTCCAAATCGTTCCTTAACGATGTAGACTCAACTAGGACCGATACATTTCCGTTATGATTATGTTAATGAAAACCTTTTGGTATGAACATGTAATACAGCTTCCTGGATTGCATTAGATCATATCAAGTTGATAACCAACTACCAATTTACCATTGCAATTATACATGAAACAAAGGGTAAAAACAAAGTCAACTCTTCACTTGAATTTGCATCAAGAGGAGCAATGATTCAAATATGATAAAGATGAATAAACATTACATATATAAGTAAACATCAGGCAAAAGCTAAACTGGACTGGCTTACAGTAGGAAAGTCAGTTCCTCAAAGAGTAGAAAACTTGTTTCTTAAGCAGGTCCCCATACTGACATATATCTCAGGCTCACAGAAGCTAAAGCACGTGTGAGTTTTGAGTATATGTGAGTGAACATAGTGAGAGTTGAGGTGTTGTGTTCAACCTCTCAAAATCTTGCCGCCAGCTTTTCCATCATTCCTCACCAAACCATTGCTTCAAGATGCAGAAACTTGAAACTGACAAATTAAAATCAATTAGGTATACATGAAAGAGGGTGATGAAAATATCTCATATACTACTCAACAACCAGTTGGTGAGACATCTTCAACCGTTCTTTTTTTTTTCCCTTGTGGTTTAGTATTTCCTTTTTAACACAGAGGTTGTACAAACCAATACTTGTCTCCGTTGATTCCTTGCCGGAGAATTCGTGAGCTTGTGAACTTCTGGCCATGGAATTTTCTCACTTAACTGACCCACTTCACAGCATTGTCTTTTGTCTAAGGAGGCAATGCCACTCATTCCTCGGACTGAAGTTCACAATTTTGGCTATTCTGTTTATCATGTTTTCTCATGCAGGTAAAGTACTCTTTGTTCAGGTCTGAAAATTCCAGTTTTAATTGTTGTACAGGTTATATTCATTAATGTATTTGTTTTGGCTTTTGTTTTCATGATTTTAGTTGCATATGATCCATTGGATCCAGCCGGCAATGTAACGATCAAATGGGATGTAATGTCCTGGACAGCAGATGGTTATGTGGTGAGTGTTTTCATCTTAAACTGGAGAGCCTGTTATGAAATTTTTAATGTAAATTGTAATCAAATAAAGCTTCAAATTGAAAGTATCAAGCACCCTTGTAATATTCTGGATCATCATCACATTAATCATTGTGCAATGAGTTATATCAGGCTGCAGTGACAATAAACAATTTCCAATTGTATCGTCATATCGGGGCACCTGGGTGGACTCTGGGATGGGGATGGGCTAAAAAGGAAGTGATCTGGTCAATGGTGGGAGCACAAACCACAGAGCAAGGAGACTGTTCCAAGTTCAAGGGAAACATACCACATTGCTGCAAAAGGGTCCCCACTGTTGTTGACTTGCTTCCTGGAGTTCCCTACAACCAGCAGTTTACGAATTGCTGCAAGGGCGGTGTTGTGTCGTCTTGGGGACAAGATCCTTTAGGAGCAGTCTCAGCCTTTCAGGTCAGTGTTGGACTTGCCGGCACATCAAATAAGACGGTGAAACTGCCCAAGAATTTTACTCTGCTAGGTCCAGGACCAGGCTACACTTGCGGCCCTGCAAAAGTGGTCCCATCAACAGTCTTCCTCACAACTGATCGTAGGAGAAAAACTCAAGCATTGAGTAAGCTTTTCTCTTTTGAGATCTTTCTATTAAATCTATCTTTGGTTTGTAGATCTTTGCATAAATTTGTAACTTAATTATAATGATCTGCTATCTTTGTATGCAGTGACATGGAATGTTACTTGCACTTATTCACAGTTCCTGGCTTCAAAGAACCCAAGCTGCTGCGTTTCCTTCTCAAGTTTTTACAATGAAACAATCACTCCTTGCCCATCTTGTGCTTGCGGCTGCCAGAACAGAAAGAAAAACTGCATAATGTAAGCTTCCCATCCAGTTTTCACTAATATTCACATGAATATTCATATAGCAACTGCAAAGCAATTGAACATCCATCACTTATGATTCAAAGTAGACATCTTTTTTCTTTGAGTTGAAGAAAAGATAGCAGCAAATAGAGTTAACACAAAGCAATTAATTTGACATGTGTAAACTAGGTAGGAGATCTGGTAGATTCCTTTTTCCTTGAGTATGAGATGCCAATTCTGCTGTTGGTAATGCAGGAGTAACTCAAAGCAAGCACATCAGAAGGGTATAAATACTCCAAAAAAGGACAATTCACCATTGCTACAATGCACACATCATATGTGTCCTATACGGGTACATTGGCATGTGAAGCTGAACTACAGGGATTATTGGCGTGTGAAGATCGCCATTACTAACTTCAACTACCGGATGAACTACACGCAGTGGACACTTGTCGCACAGCACCCAAATCTCAACAATGTTACTCAAGTCTTCAGCTTTGATTACAAGCCGCTCGTCCCCTATGAATCGATAAGTAAGTCTTAACAGCTAAAATTTATTTCAAGTTCAGTTGCATAATCTCACAGAAGCATATAAACGTCTTGACCTGTACGTGCAGATGACACTGGTATGTTCTATGGCATGAAATTCTACAATGATCTAATAATGGAAGCCGGTCCTCAAGGAAATGTTCAGTCTGAGGTGCTCCTTCAGAAGAACAAGGACACATTCACCTTCAAGCAGGGATGGGCATTTCCTCGGAAAGTTTACTTTAATGGTGACGAATGCATGCTGCCGCCACCAGATACATACCCATTTCTGCCAAGCTCAGCTATTGCAAATCCAGTTACATGTTTTACAATGGCAGCCTCACTGTTTCTGTTGATACTTTCCATTTGCTGATTATACCACTAGGAGAGCAGGATATTGAGATACACTAAAACGAACAAAGCAGAGTGGTTTTCAAAGATCGATGGACTGCCCATTACAGCAGGTGCACACCTTCATTAACTTCTTCTCTGAGCTACAACATATGGTAAATGTGCTATCCTTCAGTTGCAGAAATCTTTTACCTAAGAAGAAGAGCTAGTGTATAAATAAGTAGACATGTACTTGATTTTGAAATATCCATAAGTTTTTTGGGTGTCCATAGTGCATCATTTATTTCTAAGCACCATTTCTTTTTCTGCATTGAACATTTTGATGAGTATTTGGTATTAAGAAATAAGAAATTTATGACAGACATGGTAAAATGCTAACAAGTAGGAAGTAAATCATATATCAACTATAATTTCTTCATTAAGTTCCTTATTACAAACACTATTCCTTGTGGATATTCTACAAACAATTTGATCAAGTGTATATATAATAAATAAACATATAATATAACACAACAGATGCTTCTAAACAAAAATGGCAGAAACCCTTAATTCCAGCACATAAATTAAACAAAGAGCAGATTTCTGTAGCAACAGAATGTAGTGCACCTGAACCCACTCGTATCGTGTTAGAGTTGCAGCACCAGCACGTAGGGACTGGAGTGCACAAGCTTCAGGATAAATAAAACCAGGTGGCACATCAAGAATGTTGTAGAACAACTCTTTGCCTTTCCAACTGGCTTTAGATATAAATTCATCATGCATAAGCCACTAAGAGTGCCAAAGATGCCAAGATTGTCATAGCCAGTTGAAATAGAGATATAATTGGCCGGGAACTGGCATTTGGCAACCACGGGTAGGCATCTGGAGGTGGCATCACACAGTTATCACCATTAAAATAAATCCTTCGAGGGAAAGCCCAACCCTTTTCAAAAGTAAAAGTTGATGCATCCTTCCGGAATAATAGCTCTGACTGCACATTCCCATAAGGGCCAGCTTCACTAAGAAAATCATTGTAGAACTTAAGTCCCCATAGCATGGCAGTATCATCTGCAAAAAGAACATTTCATCTTGTCAAATATTTAAGACAGAAATAAATTAGACTTAAGTCCATCTTTGACAAGAAAATAATTAATCTTTGGCAAGAGTTAACTTACTTAAGCCTTCGTAAGGAGTTAATGGTTTGTAATTAAAGCTGAAAAGTTCGGTGAGATTATCAAAGTTGGGGTGCTGCGCAACAATATTCCACTGTGAGTAATTCATTGCATAGTTAAAATTGGTGATTGTGATCTTCACACGCCAGTACTCCTTGTAATTGAGCTTGACATGCCAATGAACTCTGACGGGACACATATGACTGGTGCACTGGACCATAGGTTTAGTGACAGCTTTGCCTGGAGCACTAACAACTGAAGCTAAATGTGGAGACTTTGGACTGCAGGACATCATGAGAGAAAACATATCAGAAGACAAAAACCATGAAGACATATTTTGAGAAAGATTTAAAAACAAAACAGAAGGTGAGACATGCAAAAAAAGATAAAAGGAAAGTACTTACTTTACACAGCTCCCAGAATCTGTTCCGTTGTTTTGACAGCCACATGCACAAGTTGGACAGCCTACTATCGTGTCATTGTAAAAGGAAGAGAGAGAAACACAACAGGTGGGAGTCTTTTGAGCCAGAAATTGTGAATACGTGCAAGTAACATTCCAGGTCACTGCCATGAGATCCAGGCAAAATTAAGTCAACTGAAAATATTGTTCCATAATACTGAGAGTTTTGCTATTTATATTAAGAACAGAATTCAATGGTAGTCATCACATCTTAGTTCAACTTTGAGACCAATTCATGGAGTATAAGTTTCCTTATATGCTACAACATACCAGTAGATCAATCAGAGGGAACACATAAGATATTACACTTTAAAACCATATAGATGAATTACTATCAACATGTTATCAGGCAGAACATCTATATCAAAGGCTGAAACAGGAACATCAGGGAGCCTAATTGATTAACACATGCCACATGAAAACATATGCAGTTATGAATCTCTATTCTACTCTAGAAATTTTATTCAAGAAACATACTCATAGCTTGAGTGGATCTCCTCTTATCTGCTGTAACAAATTGAGTTGGTCTCACAATTTTAGCTGGCCCGCAAGTATATCCAGGCCCTGGGGCTTTTAGCGTGAAATTTTTGGGCACTCTGACAGTTTTGTTAGTTGTTCCTGCAGCACCCACACTGATTTGGAATGAACTTACTGCATTGGGCTGATCCTGGGCCCAGGAGGCTAATACTCCCCCTTTGCAACAATTTGCAACCTGCTGGTTGTAAGGAGTCCCTGGTAATAAATCCACTACAGTTGGATCCTTCTTACAGCAATGCGGGACGTTCCCTTTATATTTTGAACAATCCCCTTGCTCTGTGGTTTGGCCCCCTATCATGCTCCAAATGACTTCCTTTTTTGCCCATTTCCACCCCAATGTCCAACCTGGCGATTGAATGTGGCGATATTGTTGGAAGTTGTACATTGTAACAACAGCCTGCCAAACCAAAATAAGAATGATTATTCAAATTATATGTTCAAGGAAGCCTTTGGGGAAAAAATTCAAAGAAATAGAAACTGTAAATTGGTGTTTTAGATTGAATTCTCCAATTTTTGCCACAGGTATGAGCAGTCAATGTGAAGAATGATTGCCACTGCTAAACTCACTTTGAAAAGAAATGCTACTCTTTGAATTCAAATTAGACTTTTTCTTTACTTTATTTAATGCTTTTCTTTTTTTATGAGAAATTGAATCATAACATAATGCTATATCCATGGAGATACTAGTTTTATGCTTGATGTCATGAAAGAATCTATAATTAACTGACACTTACAACGTATCCATCTGGAGTCCAACTCATTACATCCCATTTGAGTGTGATATTCCCATTTGGATCAAGTGCATCGTAAGCTTCTGCATAAACATATAGTAAAAATAACTGAAAACTTTAGTTTTCAAACATTCTTTAAACATAGTTATCATCTGAAACTGAAAAGGAAACATACAAGGCAAAGAGTAATGGACACAAAGCACAACAACACATGCTTAATTTGGTTTTTCACTATGCAAAACTCAATTAATCGTCAACACTCTTTCAACTGATCCTCTTTCATTCTCAAATTAACTGTTATAAATTAGCTCCAAAACAACAAAGAAATCACAAAACACAAAGCAAGGATCCAAATCAAGGGTATAATTCATTAAACAATCAACAATCTCACTAACCAAAGCCATACACGGCAACAAATCACTAAAGACAAATTAGGATAAAGTAAAAAAAAAAATCACATTACATTAGAAACATTACTCTCCTCCCTGGTTGCTATTCACCGGATTCATACCTCCAATCTACCATTTGATATCTTATTTTTAGATTGTAGATAATTGTGGACCCTTTAGAAATCGGAAAAAAAAAAAAAAAAATCTAACTCATTGAATGAGTTGTCTCTCAAAATCTTTGCACATCATTAAACATATCTTAGAATTAATCTCAACCGCAAGATCAAAAACTTTAAAAAACAAAAAACTAACTTCAGAAACAAATCTCTTCGTTTGACCAAAATCAGCAACTTATGTTACAGAACGACTTAAATCCAGAGTACACCCAGAAAAATTTAAACAGAATGTCACAGTTCTCTACAAACTAAGCACAACCCAGATTCAGAAAACAAGAAAAACACTTGAAAACCACAAAATACTAGCTCAAAAAACACGAGAAAAAGAAAGTAACCACTGACCTGTGGAAGTAAAAGTGTTGCAAGAAAACAAAAACACAAGGAGAATGGCGAAACCACTGAGCTTGGAAATAGATCGAGAGAGTGAAGACAGTAAAGATTCCATTACTTGAGGCAGAGGTTTGGTAATGAACGCGTGAGTCGGACGAGTTAACTCAAGATCTGCATCAGAGTAAAAGAGAGAGAGAGAGAGAGTTTTTCTTTCACAGGGCGAAGGAGCTTTTGTTGGTTAAGTGGACTTTATAAAAACCCACTCTGTAATCACTTATGCGGAATGTAATTACTTTTTTGTCCTTTTTGCTTAGTTGAATCGTGCAATATAAGTTCACATTATTATTAATTATTATTTTAATTAATTATGTTTGATTCATTTAGAAGCCTAGCTTTGCTTACTTCTTTTTCAATGATGGTGGTTGCAATATTTTAGGATAATCTAAGATAAAGTATCAATAACCCTACTGAAGTTTGTTTAATTACAATAAAACCCTCTTGAATGAAAAATAGGTCAAAACGCATTGTGTATGTAAGTTTTTAAGGTTAATTAAAGGGCGTTAAGCGGAGTTTCAAGAACATATAATAGGGTATTATCATTTTGATGACAGTTTTCTAAAAAGCACAACAACAAAAAAATACAAATTGTGTTTCTATTAATAAATGCACTTTTTTTTTTTACGATAAAAATACAATTAGCATTGATTTTTTTTCGTTTTTTAAAAGGTGTGCTTTGGATAATAATAATACTTTAACCACCTTTGAATGATAGAGTCGTTGAATAGGGACTCTTGAGGTATTACCAAAAAAGTTTCTAGTTTAATTCATCTCATTTGCTAATAAGGATGACCACTGGAAGTTTACTCGATTGTTAATTTCAAGATATCGGAGATTAATTGAGATACGTGCAAGCTGGTCTAAACACCTCGATTAACCAAAAAATTAAAAAATTGTATGATAAAATTGTTTATTTATTGATAAACAAGCATTAATGGATCAATGAAAATAATTATTTATTGATAAAAATTACTCGTCATCTTTTCTTTTTGTTTTAAAAAAAGCATCCTCTTAATAATAAGTACCCTGTACAAAATCCTAAATAAATAAATAAATTAGAAGCGTTGTTAGGGGGCATTATAGGAAAACGACCAAAAATATTTTTTCATGTTAAAAAAAACAAAATTAATGCGTCAAGAAAAAATGAGACGGTGTAGAAAGATTGAACGAAGAGGGACAGACAGCAAAGAAAGTGGGCCCATAATTCTTGCCTTATTCCAAAAAACAGTGTCGGTGGGAGATGTTTATTTATTTTTGTTGATTGTCTTAACAACCAAACTAGCATTTTTTTCTATTTTTTTTTTTGTACAATAATTTGGACCCTATTTATATTTTCCTTATCATTTTTTTTCTCATTGACAGCGTGCCCCGATTCGGGTTGTGCCGACAATCGTTCCCATTGAAAGCTAGCCTAAGTGAAATATATATATATATATATATACACTGTTATCACAATTTTTTTTTTTTTATAATTAAGAGTACCGAATTAGTTTACGTACACCTCAACTAATCTTTTAAGATTTTAAAATTATTGGTTAGATAAAAGTTTCAATAACTTACTCTATTAACAATTAAGAAATAACTTAAACTTAAGATCTTTTTTATCGAAAAGCATTGTATATCTTTATAGATTTTTATGAATCCTTTAAATGAGAAACGAAGCTTAAGGTCTTTGTGCATGCCTAACCATTTTCTCTTTGATTTTAAATATAAGTTATCGTGATTGTTTCTTTAATTTTAGAGGATAATGTTTATCTTTGTAGATAAGATTTATCCATGATCTGAAAGATAATTGTCAAACAGTTTGCTCCACCATAAACATAACTCGTTTCAATTTTGTGGTCATCTCATAAGTTATATGCCAAGGTATAACTCGCTCCAAGCTACTACTTGCTCTGAGCTGGTCACACACTCTCTCACAATAATATTTATAAACAAATTCACTTTAAAAACAAACATGTAATTAAGTAAGTTGACCAAAAAAAAAAAAAAACATGTAATTAAGTAAGACTGTCCAAATTAAAAATGGTTGCGGTGGGGGGCATTCACGTAGACTAATTCATAACATTAAGTGATAATAGCTGTCATTCATTACAATTTGATGGAAACAGCACACCTTCTTTTGATTTTCTCCCATTTTTCTACTTCTAAGACTTGTCCTTTTCCCTAATCAATTTCAGTCCCATTAATAAATCGTTTATTTTTCTCTTACATTAATAGTCATCTTGCTATGAGATCAATTTTTTTTTTTTATTAGGTTACATGTCCTTAATTAATTTTTGAATCTTAGAACTATTAACTAAATAAAAAACTATAATGATTATTTTTATTAACAACAGTAAAACTTAAACTTAAAAGATTATATTATAACCTCCTATTACTCTTTTATTATAAAGAGACCTTTCTAGCCTCCACTGGAAATCAAGAGTTAGCTCAAGCGATGTATACTCCAAGCTAGATCATGATTTCCTGTTTTACGATCAGGCCCCAATAGTGGTTAAAATATGATATTTCAATTTTAAAAATTTAGATCATTTGAGTTACATAATTAATTTGCTCTTGGTTTGTGATTAAAGAATTATTATCAAAATAAAATATAATTAAAATTTATTTGAAACAAGTTGAAGATAATATCAAATTAAAAGATGTATAAAAACATAATGATGTTTTTAGATTTTATTCAAAATTTGTTCTGAATTTTTTTCACTCATTATTTAAATAATCACTGATATTGTTGGATTGGTGAATCAGTTGCTGGGTTTAAGAATTTTTTTGAGAGAGCCTTGTTTGTGCGATTCTGAATAACAGCTAGGGTTTAAGTAATTAACAGTAAAAATAAATGGAAAGCAGCGGCGTTGAGCAGATATTGCAAGATGGGAAGCTGTTTCGTCAGGTTAATTCTCTCATCGTTGCTCATCTTCGGGACAACAATCTCTCTCAGGCAAATCCCTCTCTATCTCTCTCACTCAATTTTTAAGTTTTAATTTCATATTTAAATAAAATTCATAAAGCTTTGTGGTTTGTAGGCTGCAAGTGCAGTTGCTTCGGCAACAATGACTCCATTGAACATTGAAGCCCCGCCTAATAAGCTTCTTGAGCTTGTTGCCAAGGTTATTATTTGTTGTGCTTTTTAATTTTATTTTTTAATGGGGTAGATTTTAGTGTAGAAAAAGAGTGTTTGGTTCTGAGTTAAAAACAGGGTCTTGCAGTGGAGAAAGATGAGATAGGAAGAGGGGTTCCTTTGAATCCATTGTTTGATTCTGGCTCGTCTATACCTGCAGCTTATGGTTCAATCCCGGCTCCCCGAGCTGCTGCTGTTGATTTCAGGCAATTCACTTGCTTTGTTGTTTGGCTTTCTACTGTAATTATGCAATGTTGTGTCAATGATTAATATTCTTGTTTATGACTTGTCATTATGAATTTTGAGCATCATTTGCGTCTGGATGTCATGCTTAATTTTGTTGATTAACTGTTGTCCTTAGAAGAGAATATGAACATGAAATCAAAAGTCAAGAACACTGATAATACTAAACTCACAGACTATGCATATGAACTCATATATAGAAACTGAAATGTATGAGAAAGTGAACTGACCAAATTAAGATAATTGATGTGGCTATGAAGTTTCAGTGAATTATTTGTGTTTTAAAGTTTGTAAGTGTTATATGAATCTAGAGGACAATTTTGGAGTACGAGAACTGAAGAAAGTATAACTTTTCAATTTAAAATGTTCCCTGACCACCCTCTTGTACACCACATATAGACCTTCATGCTTTTTTCTCACTTCTGTTATTTCTTAGAATTTGTTTGACAAACTGAATGTAGGAAACAATTTCTTTCTTTCTCTTTCTCTCTCTTTTTTTTTTTTTTTTTTTGGTTAGTTTTCTTGTTCCTATCTTTTCCCCTCTCGGAGTAGAGTGTTAATGAAACATTTTGAAAATTGGCTTGTATAATTGTGTTTCTGTTGAAAGTTTTGAAAAATAATTAAAAGTATGGGTTCCAACATTGTTCTTGTTACATTTGTTAAAAACCTATTGATAATGAGTGACTCATCTGTTTGTTTCAGTGAAATTTATCTTCAGGATTTCGCTTCATCTATCTTGTATCTAAGGCATATTATCATTTCATATTTTTTGTGCTCATGTATTGTCTGGTTTTGGTACTTCTGCTTATTATGTTACTCCCACATTTGATACCCATATTCCTCAGATAGTTATTTATGAATAATTTTTTTTTTTTTTTTTTTTTTTAAAGAAATAACAAAGAGACACCTTATTTTATGTTGTTTAGGGTGCCTTTAGATTGGGCATAGGAGATGTGAAGCACTTGTATTGCAGGACTGATAGATTTGTAGTTTTGAGTTTAGGACAAAGAGAAAATGCCCTTATACTCCATTTCTTCCATGAAATCAGTGCTGTGCAGGATACAAAAGGTTCATCAAAGAATTTTCCAAAGCACGAGACACGGCATCTTTCAGAGCACAAGGTATGCTTGTGCTGGAAGAAGTTTTTCTAATACATGTTTTCTTTTGTAGTTTAATATGGCTTATATAATTTGTATCACTTTTCTTAGAATCTGATATGGACAGATCGGTGAAATTTTCTAGAATATTGCCAGATGTGCAAGATTTAGTCCTGATGGGAGGTTTGTTGCAACTGGAAGTGCGGACACATCAATTAAGCTCTTTGAGGTTTTAATACTATTAATTATGTGCTCAGTTTTTTCCTTGGTACGGTCAGTATCTAACTTCTAGTTCTCTGTCCTCTTGCAGATAGCAAAAATCAAGCAAATGATGCTGCCGGATTCAAGGGAAGGTCCTGTGCGACCTGTCATACGAACATTTTACGACCATATGCAGGTAGATCCACCTTAGTCTTTGGCTCTTGCATGGTGCCAACTAGTGCTAAACTTAAATCATGAGAAATCATGTATTTATACACATAGAACAATCTATGAGATCTAGTTCTATTGCTTATGAATCCTCAAATTTCCATCTTTTTTCACTTGCTTCTTCGCATCTGGTTTTGGTCATTCCTCTGTTTATTCTTACTGTTCAAACACAAGGTCATCCTATTGACAACTAATATGACATACTATCTCGAACTAAGTTGCATGTACTCCTGTACTAGTGTTGGCTATGACATTGCACCTGAAATGCGGGTGTCTGCATCTATAACAGTATCCGGTATTATGTTATCTGACATCAGCAAAGAGTCCATGTAACCGGGGAAAAATATGCGTGACATTTGTTTCTTGATTACATATTTGCCACCAGCAAAATGCTACAACAAAAGCAATGCATTTGTATGTTTAATAGCTAATTTGCAGTTGTTGGATACTTCTACTATTTGCACATTATCTCTGCAGAAACAGATGATATCTTATTAAATTTCATGTATCTTTTTTATATGAAAATTTTTAATTTTTAATTTGGCTTTGGCCATTGTATTTTTATCTTTTGGTTTTCTATTTTTCCCCTCATAATAGCTGATCTAGATGTCTTAAGAATCTGCCTCTAATTGCCTAACTCTTTACTGAAAAATGCAGCCAATTAATGATTTGGATTTCCATCCTCAAAACACTGTTCTGATATCTGGAGGCAAAGATCACACAATAAAGTATGTTTATTGTAATGCAATCAAATAGGAGGTGCCTTTGTTAATTCATTTTCCCCTGAACATGTACTATATTCTTTTTATTAGTTCATCGATAGAATCTGTTTCTTCTTAAGGCTAAGCACTCTACATATTGATTTTCCTTATTTCTTCTCTAATCTATTTGTGAAGACATTTAACGTTGCCAATTTGGTGTTGAAGAAAATGAATTGAACTCTCATTGTTTTTGTGGTGCTTGTTAACGCATTTCAGGTTCTTTGATTTTTCAAAAGCTACTGCAAAGAGAGCATACAGAGTTATCCAGGTTTTTCTTGTCATCTCGATATAGAAGCATGGTTCTTGAAACTTTGGCAATAGATTTTAACAATCAGACATAGTTGACCTACTGTAGTAATTTGTGCTTGTAATGACACAGGATACTCACAATGTTCGTTCTGTGTCTTTTCATCCTTCTGGGGATTTTCTCCTTGCAGGTAATTATTTTCAATTTTTCTTGACCTCTTTAATTTGTATTTTTTTCACCATATTTGCTTTTTCATCTGAATATTATGGGAACTATGTACAGATTATCATGATAATTTATTTAGACTTTGCACTACTTCCAAACCATTATGTCACAATCTCTTATGGTTTTTAAGGTTCACCTTCTTTTGTAATGCTATGAAGCTGACTTATGCTGAACTTGTTATGCTGTTTGAATAAAATTATACAAAATATTTTCTTCAGTTCCCACTTCAAGGATATATCGATGATGCATCATAATAATAATTGTAATTATTTTTAGCTTTCTTCTTGAAAGGAGAAATGTTAATTATGTTTAAGTGCTGTTTCTAGAAGTTATATCATGCATTGCCCCTAATTCTTACTGGCATATGGCTACTCACAAGGTTGAATTGAAAAAACTTAACACAGGAACTGATCATCAAATTGCACACTTGTATGATGTTAATACTTTTCAGTGTTATCTATCTGCAAATGTACCAGAGATAGGCGTTAATGGAGCCATAAATCAGGTATCACCAACATACTATATTCTTCTCTGTGGAAGGATAAATTAGTTCACAGTTAAAATTAGCTTGAGAACATGAAGCTAATCAGTTTTATCTTTTGGGTTATGCAGGTGAGATATTCATCCACTGGTGGCATGTATGTCACAGCGTCTAAAGATGGTGCTATTCGGTTATGGGATGGGGTAAGTGCCAATTGTGTGCGCTCCATAGTTGGTGCTCATGGAACAGCGGAGGCCACCAGTGCAAACTTTACAAAGGATCAAAGGTATGAATAGCTCAATATATAAATGTCCACAGAAGTATAGGTTATTAGGTGACTTAAGGAAAATCATGTCAGTGCAAACAAGCTGAATCTGGGTTAAATTTTTATTGTAATGAGAAGAATGGAATTATCTGGAAATTTGATAATGTGGAATATGTGGGCTCTAGATATTTCATAAGTGTGATGAAGAGGCTTGTCTTGACCAATGCTGTAACTAAGTAAAGCATTGATAATACTTATGACTTTAAATTTTGTAGTCCATTTGTGTGACTGCACTTATTAGTTGTCAGTTATTTATGACTAATCTTATTATTTAATGTCAGCAAACGTTTCTAGAGTTCAATTGCAAAAGTAGCCAAGCAGAATATGTAATAGAAGTTTATAGCAGAGCATGCTGAAACATAGAATCTTATGGAACAATAAAGGTTGTTTCTTAGATGTTTAAGTTCCTGATCATGACTTAAATTGTGACTTTCTAGGTTTGTTCTTTCTTGTGGGAAGGATTCCACTGTAAAGCTCTGGGAAGTTGGCACTGGAAGATTGGTCAAACAATATCTTGGATCTTCACATACACAATTGCGATGCCAGGTATGTTGGATTGCCTGCTGCTTCCCTTCCTTTTTGGTTTATCTTGTTTTTACTGGGTTGGTAATTGCCACTTCCTTAACATCCTTCTTTTTCCGTTTTCTTCCCACTCCTTCCCCAGGTGAGTAAATTGTTATGGCTTTTCTGTCAGTACTTTGTTCTTTAATTGCAGACAAAGGTAGTATCCCGGGAAATTTTGAGATCATGGGCTTTAGAATTTGAAATTTATTCTCTCCCAAAGGTAGTACTAAACCCCCAATTGCAGTTTGCTATACATCTGAAGCCAGAAGAAATGAAATCCAATTTGGGTTATCTGGGTATTTATGTTAAGAAGATTTTATAATTTTAGTCGAAGCTACACTTAAAAGTCTTAAACTGGTGTATTGGGCCACATTTTGGGGCAGCAAAACCTATAGCCCACAGCGACTGTACAAGTGGTCAGATTTTTATGATTAGTCTATGCTGTTTGTTTTCTAATTCAACTGAATAAATCCATAATTCAAGTTGGTTGGGGTTGGTTTGTTGTGTGATTTACTTTCACATATATATCTGCAAAGGATCTCGGCATTCCATATATTTTCTTTCTGATAAAAGTTCCAATTTCTGTTCAAGTATTCTTACAATTCCATTTTTCTGGGTGCTTCAATATGTATCTCTGCAGGCTGTTTTCAATGATACTGAAGAGTTTGTACTAGCCATCGATGAACAAAGCAACGAGGTTTGTTCAGCTTAATAAGTTAGTATAACAAAGTCCTTAATTCATTTTAGTTTTACATATGAATCTTTGGTGGATGCAGATGGTTATCTGGGACGCTTTAACAGCTGAAAAAGTAGCAAGGTGGCCTTCAAACCATATTGGTGCACCTCGTTGGATTGAACATTCACCAGCAGAGGCTGCCTTCATTACCTGTGGCACTGACAGGTCAGTCCGGTTCTGGAAGGAGACTTTGTAAGGACTTGGAATTCTTATGGCCTTGTCAATTCAAAGAGTGTAGATTAGAGAGTTGATTTACTAACATTCTGTGTAAAACTGAACACACGATGAGATTGGATAGACTTAACAGATTTCTGCATCTGCCGGGCAGAACTTGAAATTTGAGGAAAATTTCACTTTGATTTCACCTATTGCATGCAACAAGTTAAGAGGCAATGTCCTGTTTCGATTTCCTTTTTCTCTTGTTAGCATTGCCGCCCCCTTCATTAACAAAATTATACTATGCCCCCACTTAATATAGGAATGGGAAATTTGCATGCAGTCAATTAGAGAACTCAGTTGGCTAATCCGATATGAAAGCAGCTCATATTTCCCCAAAAGTTGAATTGTTATACCTCCATCTGAGAATTAAGCAAAGCTTTGAAGCAAAACATGTTCAATTACTGAAACATGCCCATAGGGAAATCCTGCCGCTCAACTTACTGTTTGTATCTCATTTATGGTGCTCATTTGATATCTTCATTGATAATCAAATGAAAATGAAAACACTAATAATATTGGCTTCTATATGAGTAATGTTTAAGAAACTCTAATAATCAAATGAAAAATTACTCAGTACCAGATTTCAGATCTTTATGTTATATCAAAAAGACAGTTTTCAAGTTAAACTCCCATCTTACCATTCCTTCTCATGCAAAGCAAACTCTAGATTCATGTGAAGCTTTTACTGCACAAACCAGGAATTACTGCTAAATGACATAGCTGCAATTATGCAGAGTAAATTATCAACCATTTGGCAATCAGAATAAAAAGCACACATTCGAAAACGAACATATAACTATTTACAAAGCTGGAAAGAAACAGGCCTAAAAATAACCCCTCTTGAGAACAAGGTATTTGTTTGGCACCCGAAGTTTAATTTGATTATTGATGCAATCAAGATTTTGTTTGCCAGATTGCATTACATAGTCACTGTTTTTTGCCATCTATCTAAACCATCAACAAGGACGATATTACAAAACAAACTAGAAAAAGCTAAGTAGCAGCATAGCTTTGTGACCTTTGTTTATAAGTACAGATTGTAGAGAGAAAGCAAATTTTGAAACTCATCCAAATGGTGTATTTTACCCGGAAGAATCATGCGGATGCTCATATTACACGAAAAAAAGTATACCTTAACAGAATTCAGCTTCAACAAAAATTTTATTTCTACTGTCAAAAAGTAATGAAAATCACAGAATAGCAAAAACACAGTATCAAAGTTCAAAATAAGAGCTCGAATTCAATTGTCAAACCTTTAATTGCACAAGAAAATTTAGACTGTTAGAAGTCTCATCGCATCATCATGCGCTTTGGCTTCTTCACAAAACTTAATCTGATTTGCTTAAGACGTCTCCTCTTCCTTGCCATTTTCTCAGGAAATGTCTCCCTCTTCTTCTCTTTCTTCAACGGCTTTGGTTTTTTCAAAAAACTTGGTTCCACCCGATACTCTTTGGGTGTCACCGGTACCCCATTACTCGATGCCTCATTAAACAACACATTCGCCTTATCAACTCGGTTATGAGCACACCATTTTCCCATCAGCAAATCATAAGTCTTGATCCCAGGTTTGCACCCATCTTCCTTCATCTTCTCAAACACACTCATTGCATGCTCAACCCTCTCAATCCCACACAAAATCTTCAAGAATTCATAATAGGCATTCTTATCAATTTTATAACCAGCACTTTTCATTCTATCAATCATTTCATCACCTTCTCCAACCCTCGCCGCCTGATACAAACTCTTGATCAAAACAAGAAATGTAGTTCCGTTTGGATAACAACCCCACTCTCCCATCCTATTAAACAACTTCATTGCATCCTCAGTTCTCCTAATCTTACATAAGTTACTGATCATCACATTGAATGTCTCCACATTCCTTGGAACCCCATAATAATCCATATCAACCAACACTTTCTCAGCCTCAGAATCAAGCCTAAATGCATCTTTTTTTCTACAAAGCTTACAAACACAATCAAGAATAGAATTAAAAGCCATTGTGCCAAGCTCAAAACCTCCTCTATACATCTCTCCAGCCAATCTTTTTGCCTCCTCAAGTTTCCCATCAACACACCAACCTTTAATCAACAAATCACATATCTTATCATCTGGGAATATCTCATTTGCAGTATTTTTCACCAATTTTTCCGCATAACTCGCATACCCATTTTCACATAACTTCTCCACAACCACTCTCAGTGAATCTTTATCACGTTTAAACCCATAATCTCTCTCCATTCTCTCAAAAAACCCTAAAACCTGCGTTGGCCGACCCGCCCGAACCAATCTATCAACGCAAGATTCAAGGGTTTTAGCCCCTAAAACCTCCTTATTTTCAAGAAGGAATTCATGGATCGCCTTAAAATCCTTTCTACGACCGAAATAATCAGTAAAAAATGACAGCGTTTCGTCAGAGTGGGAAAAGTTAGCATTTTGAGTAAGCCATTGATTAAACCCTAGAACCATACGGCCAGCTTCATGGCTAAGACTGAGCGTGGAGAGGACCAGGGAAGGTGTTGGCTTGATGTGAGAGAAGCTAAGGTGAAGTCTTTGAGAAACGGGTAATGCGTCAGTGTCAGAATTCGCAAGGAGCTCTCTAGAGAGAGATTGAGCGAGTTCTTGATCTGGGTCATCTACGGTTTTTTTAGGGTTTGTGGTGGATGCAGATGCAGTCTCGGATTCGGAAGAGAAGGGTTTAGAGAGGAAATTAAGGAAATGGGCAGGGGAAAAACGGCAACAAAAAGTGGGTTGTGGAGAAAGGAGGCGGTGGTGGGGCGTCGGAAAAGAGAGGTGGTGAAGGAGGAGCCTACGGAGTTGCAAAGGCGGCATTTTTACGGCCAAGTATAGAGTCAGTGCAGTCTGGGGAGAAAAACCCTGAAATGAAAGGGTTTGATAAGCTTGACGAAAGAGGTTTGGGCTCAAGCCCATGAGAGTTGAGGCTCATAACTCTTATGTGGTTTATCTGGGGTATAATTGGGTTTTGTTTAAGGGACATGATGGGCTCTGGCCTGACAAAAATAATACTGGCCCTAGATCATGAAAGGTCTTAGTTTTGATTGCAGAAACATTACAATTAATTGATATCATAAGAAGTCTAAGAACGACGTATAGATGTTTATTCAATCATTGACATTAGTTGCGTTGTGCGGTGGACTTTCAGTGCATAGATTTCTGCTACCTGTCTACCTACAATGTCAAGATCCAATGGCCAATTTTGCTCCGTGTGTCACTCCCCTGATAGACAACTTTTCTAGCAAGATTGATTGTCTCAAGAATGGGCACCTCTAAATCAGATCCGGATTAAGGGAGATTATGTATGTAAATCACCTCGTAACACCAACTCTCAACCACTCTCAGATGAAGGTATAAAAGGGGAAGCAATCTCCATTTCAAGGGGTCCTTTGGAACCATTTTTACCACCTCAAAAGGAAGTCCAACCATTCTCCACATAAACACACTCAGAAAAAGAAAGTCAAGAGAGTTATCTTGGTTCTCTGTTCTTCATTGTAATATGTCCGGCTATAAGGCAAACACTGAATAATAAAATAACAGTGGTCATATGCTTAATTTTAACTTGTCGAACCACTTTAAAAACTCTTTCGTGTTCTACTCGTTCATTGTAATATGTCCGGCTATAAGGCAAAACCTGAATAATAAAAAAACAGTGGTCATATGCTTAATTTTAACTGTTCAAACCATTTTAAAAACCCTTTCGTGTTATCGTTTCTTTTCATCTTATCATTGTGGTTATTCATAATCACGCGTACATTTACCTAGTCCATCGAGGTTGACTGGATATCTCTGATTGTTGCTGATTTCTATAGCAACAAGTTGTATGCATTGACATGATGCATGAGGATTGAATGAGTATACATATTTATATTCCCTTGAATATTTCTCACTTGAAATGAACAAAAATTTCTATAAGACAAATGTATATGTATTTGTTTAATCACAGTGTATGTTCAAACAATATGTATTGACATGACACATTAGGATTTAATGTACTCCTAAAGAGTTTGCCTCTAAGACGAAACTAAATAAAATTTTTCACTCAAATTATGTTAATATGTGGGTTGCTAGGTGTTCCACAAACGTTTGTTTGTCTTTACATAATGAAAACGCAAATTTAGGATAATTATTACTTATCAATCACTCTATTTCACAGGAAAAAAAAAAAAAAAAAAAAAAGAAAAAAAGAAAACAAGAGTTTATCCAAACTTCATTATCTTTCAAGGTCACCAAAAAAAAAAAAAAGTTTGGCAATATGTTCAATGTGCGCAAAATGAATCCATGTCTAATTATATAGAAATGTAGGAGTGGCAGTCAACTTAATTCATTCAGAATTGTAGCCTACCTAGCTAGTTTTAACATGGTTCCAAATTTTGGATGTTCCACACTTACATGTGTCTTCACGCAATGAAAATGCAAAATTTGATCAAGACACTGTTTTTGCTTTTAGTTTAATTGTTGTACTACTCGCACTATAACACTGAGATTACTTTCTGAAAATTGTGCGTTTGACATTATAGTTGTTACCATTTATCAATCAATCTACATCACTATCTTTCAAGGATATCGATCAAAGGCAATAACATATCCACACAAAATAGAAAAATTTCTAATTATATATACATAGTGTGTTGTGCCTAATTTCTTGGCAGTAAGATTTGTGCCACTCGTCCTCAAGGTGTGTCGAAGGCTGATGGTCTAGATCCTCCTACGTGTCGTTTTATCGAAGCTTGTTTTCTCTCGTAAGGTAATTAATGTCAAAAACATGAGTTAAGCTGTTATTAGTATGACTCAACCTATCACAAGCATGGAGATTATTGACCAAGTTCCTAATTAAGGGAAGCAACCTCATAACACCCACGACCTTTGTTCCAAGGGATTCCAATATTAGTGAAGTCCAACAGAAAAATACACTGATCTATTTTAGAGAGTAATTAAAGAGAATAGGACAAGAGTCGAATGTCCTTCATTTATCTCACAAACTTTCCTTTGTAACCTCATTCGACCCTGTAACACTCCTCAATAATAACATAACAGTAGATGTAGGTTTGGTTTCTATACTGTCAAACCACTATAAAATCTCTTTTGTTCTTTACTTTATTATATTGTTTTTAGCGACCTTGTTGGTTACCAATAACCACTCCTATATATGACTTGGTTCTTTCCGAGGCTCAGTTAGGTATTTTTGGTTGGTACAAATTATCGCATCAACACATAGTAATGCTATAAGAATAGCTTTAAGAAGTTAACACATTCAGAATAATAGCATAGTCAAGAGGTGCATGCATGCTCTACTTTGAGTGGGGATAATATCATCCACATTATCTTAATTAAAAACCTGCTAAAACCTAATGTGAACTTGCTGGAAAATCACAGCGCGCATGTGTTCTTTGAATGAAGTGACATGATAACTGATCTAAACGTTCTAGTGAAAACATTCGATTGGATATCAAACATATCTCACTTTACTTTAAGTTAGATTCTCTTGTTAAATAAGGAAATGCCGTCCCAAGGATGAGAACCGAACAATATTTGGAAGGTAAACTCGTTTTAGAAACCATTATTTGTTAATATTATTTGACCTAGCAATTAGGTATATGTATAGCCCAATTGCAAGCCCCCCATTGCTGACTGATATCTATATCGACCTTCTCTTTAATTTCTAAATTTTGTTTTCATCATCATAATCTACCAAATCTAACTCAATAATCTTATATATGCATGTGAAGTAGTGGCAGCTCCCATGTCAAAGATTTCAACACCACCATACTAAATATGTATATGTAGGGTTTCCATTTCAATATAAACTCCCCACCTAATTTCAATAATTTTGGGAGCTGGGATTGTACTATTTCTTTGACAAACGTTGCTCTCTCTAGAATCTATCAGCTCACAATTTGCACCATAAAGGAGAAAACAGACGCATCAAATAATACATTAAACCTTGACCAATCTTGTGTTAAATTTATGGCTGATATATTTACAAGATATATAATTAACAATTAATACTGTGATTGTGATAGTGATAGTGATCATCATTGTAATCACACATAATGGTAGAGAAGAATTAATATAAATTCATTAATTAATTGTGGATGCATAATTAGGTATGAACTAGGGCATGTGGATCCCATATTACACTTGCAATTAAAGCATATATAATAGCCAAATTACATATGGACCTACACATGTATGGAAGAATATTAAAGAAACAAAAAGGAGAAATTTACAAAGCATGAGATCGATCCATTATATTAATAATGGAGAGAACCTAAAGAATGAAACCTTTGAAGCCGCCAAACAAAAATATTTTTTTTTTTTTAGATAAATTGATCAAGTTTTTTTTTTTTTTTTTTTTTTTTTTTGCACCCTGCAAAGAGGGTTGGTCTTTGTATACCCAGCACAATGACTTTATTGAAATGCTAGCTTAATTGATCATCACCTTCACTACTTAAGAGTATCATGATATATTAATTTAAAGTATGACCACTTAATTATAAATGGTGTTTTGGTACTGGTTGATTAATTATTTATTAAGAGCATAATAACTTTTTCTCTTTTCTCTTTCCTTTACTTAATTAACATATATAATGTTGGAGAAGCATCAAACAAGAGAATATTATGATGGTCTCACCAAATCATCCACCACCCACACTGCTTCGCATGCCACCTAAAAGAATTTTAAAGAAGAAGAATGTGGTTTGGTTTGAAAACATGAACATCATTCCTAGTAGTACAATTTTCAGATTTTTTTTTAATTTTTTAAATATGGGGTCTAGGGTTATGGTGGAGAATGATGATTTGTTCTAATGCTCCTTCTAGGGTTTTTCCATTTCGTTTTCAATCTGAATAGGAAGCAAGAACAACCCACTAACCTCTACTTTAATTGTCTATTATATATGTAATTAATCTGGTTTAATTACCTTAAATCATAGCTTCCTTAGGGCAAGCATGAGGGTCATGGTGGCCCTCATTTTCTCGTCTTCACAAAATCAGCCATTGGCCTCATCTCCTGAGACAGAGAAAGTTTTATCCATCTCTAATTAATTTAATTTTTAGGATTAATTAGTTTAATTATTCTTTGTTAGGTATACGATCTCTGGGCTGGTTTTCACAATGCCTTTTTGGTTATATATGTATTGTGTGTGTTCATTTAAGAAGACAGAAAATTAAATTAATTAAAGATATGGACTCCTAAATATTATTATTTAGTTCAAATTAAACCCCCTGAAAGAATTGTTTAATGTTCTAATTATAATTATTGTCTTGTTTTTTTGAGACTTAATGGCCTGCAACACTTATGAGAAGCAGCTGGAGAACCACCAGACCAGTGGGTCACTTCACATCTTGTATATAATTGTTTCCTTCTTAATGAAGACTATTAAGGATAAGATTCAATTAAAGAACCCACTTTTATGTTTGATTTTTGAACTAATCTTTCATTAACTTTAATCCAAAGATACTAACACTCACTAATTGCTACACTATTGAAATTAAAACACCCCCAAAAAAAAGAAGAAGAAGAATTTAAGGAGGTGAATAAGAAATAAAATTAAGCTATATATAGGCTTTATAAACTATGGCATCCTACACAGATAGTGCCAGATCTCCATCTCCAATGAGAGAGCTGAGAATAGAGGTGGAGGAGAAATTGGAATTAATTTCAGGACCAAAATAAGTCTATAGGTGGTCAAAGGAATTAATACTTTGTTGCACTAAGCCTACATTTTTCTTTAAAACCCTAGAGAGATCGAGATCCTGCATGCAATATTTTGATTTTTATATATGCCTAGCTCACGGGCTACATTTAATTCGATATCAACCTAACCTTTTGCACTAAATAAACATATATTCTTCCACATAAATCCTTCAATAAAGTTTCTTTTGCAGGTTCAAAACAGGGTCCCCAATTACATCATCCTACAACTCTACATATGCTCAGACTTATACCAAGTATAACATGAGAGCACAAGTTTTTATTATTATTATTATTATTATTGTCACATTCGTATGTTTATCTGTAGTCTTTCTTTCTTACAAACGCATATATATCTAAAAATTTTACATAACGATATAAGAAACGAAACATATTTTTAAGTGAAGGTTGTTAAAAATACAAAAAGTTTTCTCAAATTTTGACAGGTGGAGATTCATTGGAAAATATATATATATATATAAACTGTGTGAACGGATATGCTATGTGCAAACACATAAACTAACTAATAATTTGTTAGCTAGCAACCACACATTCTTGCGTATATATATGAGTATAAAATGATGGTGAGACTTGACAGAGATATGAGGAATAATAAAGAGAACCCCAAAAGCAAGTTGCAGTATTGATGAATGAATGGATGAATGGATGGATGGATGGATAAAAAGGATAAAAATAATGGTAATAATTTCGGATATTCAAATCTCATTTACGTCTTTTCCTTTACAGGTGGGAGCTATAAAAAGGATACAAGCTTTTCACAAGCAAGAATAGCATAGTTTTTTAGGTAGCTTCTTCAAAAAAATTATATTCTCAGAAACGATTTGCATCCCAGGAAAAGTGGTGAGCCATATCATTGTTTTGGTTTATAAGGTTCTTATTCTTCAATCATTTCAAGATTCTAGTTTGTGGTGATCAATCAAAACAAACATAAATTCTCTGTTTCATTATAATATCTGTATTAAAACCAGCCTTATATATTAAGGAATCTCAGGAAACTTTTTCTTTCTTTGGTTTTCTCATTCAAAAAAGGTTACATATGCGAGAGGGGGATCGATGCATCAAATTTTGTAGGAATAAAGCTAAAGAGAAAGATTAATTATCAAATGTGATTTAACCAATGGATGAGACTGTGAGTGATAGAAGAAGAATAATTAAAAACAAAATGTTTGATACAATACTCCTTTAAATGATATTCAATATGTCTGTGGATACCCATTTTTAGTACGTACAATATTATTCCTCAGGGCATAGTTTCTTTCTAGGACCACCTCCATGAAATATCGTTTGCACCTAAATATCTTTGAGAATTTTGTGTTAGTTCTAAATTTATCTATAATCAATCCTCTATCTTATAGTTTATTATAATCCATCTAGAGGTATGTTAATGATCACGAAGTAAAAAATGGATCGTTATAAATATAATTCTACCCGTTGATAAATAAAGGGTTTAATTAATATTACAAATTGGAATTATAATTTATTAAAAAAAAAATCAATGGGACCACCATTTTACACTTGTGTGATCATAAAAGGGTGATTAATTATATATATCTTCCTTTTTTTTTTTTTTTTTTTCTTTATAAAACAAAATATAGATTAACAGATAGTTAAAAGAATGACTAAGACTGGCCACTACTTTTAACGTGTTCCAATTATTGTTCAATTTGCATTCTCATCTACTAAGGTTTAAGGATATCGGATTAATATGATAATAATAAAATAAAAAACCCCACATCAACATCTCTTCTCCTTCATCTCCATGTTTTCAACACAATAAGATTATCTTGTTAATCTAGGGTTCATGAACCTGAAATTTCGTGGAGATACATGCACAGTAAGATCAATTTTGCATGCTATATATAGCTAATATATACTTAACTATTACTACTGTAATTAAAACTAGAAATTAAATCTAATGATCTTGTCATGAATAAATGCATGAAGTATCTATTTTTCAATGAGATATTACTGCATGACTTGGATGACCAAAAAGGAAAATAAGCATGAGTTCAGGGAAGAAAATTAGACTTCAATTTTGAATCTTGGAAGCAAATATCACAGGAATTTAAATGAGCAAGTGACATGTAAATTTGCAGAAACAAAAACTGGGATATATATATAAATATATAGATTCCATTTCCATATATATATGTGACAAGATCAGTATACAATAGGACATGACACAAAATTTACATTTCTACAAGAAGAAAAACAAAACCAAAAAGCAAGCCTTCCACGTTCAAAACACCTTCTTCAATCTTCAAACAAAACCAAAAGGTTGACCACTCAAAACAGTAAACTTGATAATTCTTCACCTTGACATGTAGAGTAAAGATTTGTATCCACATTTTCTTCACCATTTTGTTAATGCTAAAACTTATTAATTTTGCAGCCCTATGTAGGATTAAACTTTAGTATAACTAATAAAATCCTGAACTTCACACCGTTCTTGAACCCAACCATTCATGCATTCATCAAGCGAAAACCGTAGGAATAGCTTTGCAAACCAAGGAGTTCTTCATCTCCAGAGAGAGCTTCAAGCACTCAGATAAATCCACACCACTCTCAGAAGGCACCCACTTGAAGTTTTGAAGCAACTGAGCAAGCCAAAGCTCAACTGTGGCTAACCCCAGGGCCTTCCCGGGACACACTCTTCTACCTGAACCGAAAGGAGCCAGTTTGAGATTAGACCCCATAATGGCCACATCTTCATGCATAAACCTCTCAGGCTTGAACTCATTGGCCTCAGGCCACACCCCCTCATCATGTGTTATAGCCCACATGTTCACCATGGCGGTAGTGCCGGCGGGGACGAACTGGTGGCCTATTTGGGTGTCATGGATGGCAAGCCTTGCCCATGAGAGGAGGGGACCTGGTGGGTGCATTCTCAAGGTTTCTTTTACAATGGCTTGGAGGTAGGGGAGGTTTGGGAGGTCGGAATCGGACACCGACCGGGCTTTACCAACGACCATGTTGATTTCCGATTGAGCTTTAGCTTGAATATCTGGGTGCAGCACCATTCTTGCTAGAATCCATTCAAGGAGAATTGCCACTGTGTCTGTTCCTCTAAAGATCATTTCCTGGAATAAAAAATCAAAATGAAATTTTTAATAATTAAGATTAAGATATGTTTTTGATCAATCAATAAGGTAATTAAAGCAAGGAATATAAGACAAGAAAAGATAATAAAAATCAGAGAAAAAGAGAAAGGGAGAGAAATATTCAGATTCTGAACTGCTTTGGATACCCAAAAAAGGTGAAAAATCCAACCGTATCGAAACATCTACATAACAGATTTTTGTGAAATAACAAAAGGGACAAAATGGAAACAACAAGCAGACTCAAAAATGTATAATCAATAACTTCAGGATTTTAAAGCACCATTCTGTGTAGAATCAGAAACCATGAGCATAAAGAAAAAGCAAAAAACAAAAAAAAAAGATAAAACCCTAGAATTAGAAACATAACAATTACTTAACTTAATTAATGATAAATTAAGCAGTTAATTAATCAAACATACCCATAAAACAGCAATCATATCAGAATCAGTGAGCCTGTTTTCTTCTTCCAATTCAAGCAATACATCAACAAAGTCACCTTCATCACCAACTCTGGTTTTCTTAGACTTTTCCACCCTGTGTTCCTCTATGATCTCTCTAACGAAAATATTCACTCTCCCCACCAACTTCCTGCATCTTTTTCTCACTCCTTGCAAATCCAACCAACTCAATACTGGGAAATGGTCACTCCAGTTGAAGATTCCAAGCAATTCATACCCTTCACTCACCAAACTCTCGAGTTCATCACCACCGCTTGATGATGATGACGACTTCTCGTCACCAACCTCATAACTCTTTCCAAACACGCTCATCATCACATTGTTTAGTGACCCGAAATGCAACACTTTCCTCACCTCAACAATGCCTTGATGATTTCTCTTCGTTATACTTTTTATCTCATCAACCATTTTCAGCCCAATTCGTTCCCGGAACTTTCCGAAAGAACTTATTCTTTTGGGGCTAAACAAATGTGTTGACGAGATTCTCCTCAGATTTCTCCAGTACTCGCCAAATGGAGCGAACCCCATTGCTCTATGAAACAGGAGCTCATACGCCGACTCCTTAACCGGCCGATCAGCGAAAGCGGAGCTGTTTAAAATCTCTTTAGCCGTGTCAGGTTTACTCGCTATAACAAAACGGGTAAAGCCGACGGAAAAAGCCATTAAAGCTTTGGCCTTTAGTGAGTCAGCCGTCTTGGCAAGAACTCTATGAGTTAAAGAACCAGTGAAGGCCAAAACCAAACCGAGAACAGGCAGACCAGAAGGTCCTGGAATGGCAAACCGGGTCTGGGTTCTGGCCCTGGACTTGAAAACAGCCCAAGCGAGGCCGCCTGGAGCTAAAAAGAAAGAGAAAACGAAAACAAAGAGAAAGAGAGAGAGAAAACTGAGAAATGAGTGAGGATGAGGGGAGAAAATGAAGGGAAGAACGTAGTGATCGGTTGACATTTTTGCAGGAAAATGAAAACCAAGAATCAAAGAGACAAGTTTAAAAAGAAATTGAGAGAGAGGAATTGTGCGTGCAGTAGTAGTAGTTCGTGAAGAAAGAGTAGGTTGAGAGAGGGTTTATATAGAAGAAATCAAGGAGTTGTTTAACACTAAATTAATTTGATTGACCAAAGTTTGGTTTAATAATTAACTCTGGTTTAATAAATTAAGCACCAAATTAAAGATACAGAGACTGAGCTGTTCCGCCCTATGCCGCCGCCTTCCCGTACCATGGGAACTTACTTCCCCTTCAGTAAATCTTCAACTCTTTATTAATCTTCAGTTTTTTATTTTTACCTGTATCGATAAAAAAAGTTTAATTTAAGAATATTAATTATTATATTAAACCATGATTCATGTTACTTGAGGGCAAAGTTATCGACTTTCTAAAAGTCTTCTATCCAACTAAAGTCTTCTTGTTTTCATCCCTATAGTTTCTAATTTTAATCTTCCTGTCCCTCTATATATGAATGAACTTCATTAAGATTAGGGGAAAAGAATAGCCATTGAAATGAGCTGTCTATGTCTTTGTCTTCCATATCTCCTGACCTTAAAACTTAAAAGCAACAGGGCGTTTACACTTTATATTGCAAACCAAGACAAGTCTCATAAACTTTTACAAGTATGAATCTATTATAAGAAATTAAGAACTATTTTTATTTTTTTTCATAGAAATTTACTATTAGAAAAATTCCAAGAACTATATCAATATTCTCTTGATTTTTTTTCCAAGGTCATTATCGTTATTGATTAATTATATATTTATATTACCTGAATATCAGTAATTAATTAGTTTCACATGATATCAATATTCCTGACCAATTAATTGATGTTGTTTGTTTTGAGCCTATGCGTTCTTGTTGAGTGTTTGTGCCCATTTTCTCTTTTCTGTCTGATTTGAGCCTATGAGCTCTGTTATGGTGTCTGTGTCTGTCTTCCTTCTTAGTTTGAAGCCTATGTGCTCCTTTGTGGGCGTTTGTTCCCATCATTTTATCCAAAAAGATGAATGCATCTGTTTTGGTCTTTTTTAAACCTCTTTTAGGGGTATGTCCCTAATTTTTGTATACTTTCTCATCTTTTATAAATTTTACCTTTTCCAAAAAAAAAAAGTTGCTAATTACATTTCCTTAAGTTAAAATTTTTGAAAATATTGCTCTTGTCATTTTTCATTACTTTCCTTGTCACTTGCACAAGTAAAAAAAAATGACCAAAAGGAAAATTTCTGATGACGTTGATCAAGAAATATTCATTCAACTCTATGACAACTAAAGAGAGATCAAATGCGCAATCTCTCGTGCCAAACTTCTCTTATCCAATATTATATTTTATTGTTAATTTCTGCAAGCCTAACGCCATGTATTTATAAAGCTATATATACTAATGTTTGTCCAGACAAGCTTTAGACAGCATCTGGACCAACATTTGTTGAATGTCATCTTGTTTGGGGTAATTCAAACTGTCCTCAAATCACCAATGAAATAAACACAATCCCTCTCTCTTGCCTCTCTATTAAGAGTTGAATAGTCCAACAATTTTGTTCCTACGTCACTGTGTTAATTGTTTAATTTGTTCCTCTGGACAACCATCAGACAAGATCTAGAACCTTTTGACCACTGGACAGAGTTCTTACTTCACCGGCTTCGCATTGTTGAAGAAGCTTTCTGACTTTTCTGTGTTCTGGTATAGCTAATCAGTGTACTATATATAGATTAATTACGCTTGCAACGATAAACCAACTTCGGTCTTACTTTTTTTTTTCTTTTTTTTTTTTTTTTTTAATTTAGGAGCACTGCTCTAGATAATCTCTCTTTTATATTTAATTCAATGTTGAAATTTTGATTTTAAAGCATGGGAATGTGTGCAAGTCGTATGATGTTGGGTTGAAGAGTCTTAAGACAACCTTTGAAGTATTTGACTATGCATTAGAAAATCTAAGTAGTTGGTTAGTTAGGTTTGAAAATGGATATCACAATAGAGTCTAAGTAAAGATTCACTCACCACAAGAAATTAGTTGTTTTACGATGACATGTTCCGACCCAATCCAATAGCGTAAGAATGTAAAACGACATGTACCAACACAATTTAATAGCGTCCGAATGTAAAACGACATGGTCCGGCACAATCCAATAACATCATTCAGAATGTAAAACGATATGTTCCGTCACAATCCAATAGCGTCAAAATATACCAATTCCGTTGGCACTGGTTTACGCATAACTAAAATATCATCATCTTTAGATGAAATTTGTATCATTAAAGTATTTTCAATCAAGATTGCTTCGGAAAAGATTGTATTAAAAGCTCTGTCAATTCATTCCCCATTGCAACGCCAATCGCCATTGCAACCTGCTTGCTCCACGACACCATCCCTGCGTCGCAAGATGTATGTAACAATTACTGGTGTATTGGGTAATTATCTTATCATCTCTTTGCTTTTCTTTTCAAGTGCATGCATGTATATGATTGATGATATTGTGTGAACAACTGTTAGGGCAACACGTATAGTCGTTGATCATATGCAAAGAATCATTATAAATTGGATCTATCATTCGAAAAGGAGTAGAATTATATCAAATAAGCATGGCGTGTTCAGAGATTTTTCTGGTTAAGATTTTCCATATAGGAAGATATGATGATACTAAAGTGAGATGAATAGATAACGTTGCCACATGAATAGCACTAAGGTTCACTATAGGTTAAGGTTTCCATATGCAATATAATTGATATACAATCCAATATCTTATCTTATTAATAGTGCATTCATGACATAATTATTGTTCCAACTTTCTCAATAAATTTACCATATATATATAATGAGAATTATTCTTCTAATCTAAGGATGTAAAAATTCCTATTTTTCTATTCTCTAGATTAGAACTGATGATCGGCAGGTTGATATTAATAAAAGAATAATACTACACTTACAATTCTATCTCACAAACTTTCTCTCACAACTCTGACATGACAGTTTATAATTGGTCAGATCGTAAATGGGTTTCGTCTACCCAATTACGAACTATCACGCCGAGATTGTGAGAGAAAGTCAGTAAAATTGGGTTGTGAGGTAATTTTTATTATTAATAAAATTCTTCTTCCTGAGATGGATAATGATGTTACACATGAAGTTTTTAGCTATAGGCAACTATCTCTGCTAGCTAGGCTTTAAAGAAAATGGATTAGGAATGGCGTGGAGGGCATTATGGAGCTCATTAAAATTGTAGTTTAGTTAATTTGCTCTTAAGTTTTAGGGTTATATATATAAATGATGAACACATTCTAATTAATCATTGTTGATGACCCAAGTCTAGTTCATACTTCATACTAGGATTCGAGCTTACAATGATTGTTGATACTTTGTTTCTGCAAAAGTTATATATTGATCTACTTTTTGCTACTTGGATCTCCTATGAATGATTTTGATAATACTCCAAGTGCTCCCCTTCTTATAGTCTCTCATATAATTAATGTATTTTCAAACAGATCATGAAAAGCTGATGATTTATTTATTTATCATTACTGTAGTAGTGTTGACTATTCCTCTATGATTTTTTCCCAATTCCTCTCTACTTTCTTATTTATCATGAAAAATGGTATATAACTATATATATAGAGTAGGTTTCAAGTCGTCATTTACTATGTGACTTCCTTAAATCGACTAAAAAGTGGGTCGAACCACTTAAAGATGACAAAAGAATCATACAATTGAACGAAGAAAAATGTTTTTTTTTTCTTAATTTGATGATTGAAGTGTTCAGGTCAGCTTGTACGTACCTCAATTAATTCTCTCCAATGCCTATTGCATACTTTACAAACTTTATGTTCCAAGGTAAATAACAAATATGATAAATGACCCTAAAGTTTAAACCTAAAAAATCAATGAAGAAAGTAAACATTTTTTTATTATCAGACCAATCTGATGGAGTTAACGGAGATTGATATTCTCTATCTAAGATAGTTAATAAACACTGGTCTCAATACACCCGTCATTAATTCAGGTTTCAAGACACTTTTTTTAATTATAATTGATTTATTACTCTACATTCCTAGAATTAATATTTAAATTGACTAGAATATGTACAAGTCAATTTGTTTATATAATTGTTGGGGCAGTCAGCAGTCAAACCCAATTACCGACAGCGTCTCCTAACTCTCTACCTAGTTTTCGATAATACAACTTCAAACACAGCACTGTCCGGGTCCCCCAGTCCACAGTAATTATTATTTACATTTTTATATGTAAATAATAACAGCTTAATTAGTTGTTAATTTCAAGTTTACTGAGGCATTAACGAAGAGTAAACTGATCACTTGGATGGCCCTCCAGCCAGCCCACTCTGATTTATGATGTGCCAGTGGGCTCATATAGGCTGTATATGGGCCTACAACAAGCCCAATAGATTCCAATATTTCTTTTTTGATAAAGGGTAAACTTGTGGTTATAAATTTTATGTTTCTCCAAAAAAAAAAAAAAAAATTTATGCTGATTTAATGAAAAAAAAAAGTATATATTTATGAATAAATTGATTTAAATAAGAAGAAATTCATGATATATGTCTCTCATCAGCAATTGGGCCATAGTAACACTATTACTTACAATAATTGTCCAATTTGTCCACTTGCTAGACAAACACGTCCAAGTTTTCTTATTAGTACGTCTACAACCACAAAACCAATTGCCTTAGTTCACATGGACATTTGGGCTCCTTATCATACCCCCTAATTATCATGGGTGACCCTACTTTCTGACTGTTATCGATGACTATTATAGAGGAACATGAGTTTTTCTTATAAACACGAAAGCTCAAACTCATACCCATATTAATTAAATCAAATATTGGATTAAGTGATTGATAAACCATAAAAATTAAGAAATTTAAGATAATTATGAACCCTTTTAGGTAGTTGAAGATCATACAATTTGGATTTATAATCCTCACATGCCAAGATGAAAAGGATTTGTCTTTTCTTCCAACCTTTAATTTGGAAAAAATCTTTCTAGCATTTGGAATTCCATGGTCAACAAACACAATATTTATGAATTAGAATAATACCAATGGCCTATCAATCTTATAGTAATTGGGGCACTACCATTTGGAATTCCATGGTCAACAAACACATTATTTATGAATTAGAATAATACCAATACCTTCCTCGTTAGTGGAATAACGGCAATCTCAAAATAAAAAAAAAATATATAAATCATATATATTTAGGTTCGTTAAAATACAATAAATATTTTCATTAAAACAAACTACGAGAAAATATATTTGGTTAAAACGCTAATATATCGATTGATTTTTAATCATAAAACTTATATATATAACGTCGTGATATAAATTATATCAAGATTATACTGTTTTTTGTTGTAAACAGTGTTACTTGGACCGGACCAACCTATTGGGAACCGCATTGACTCCAATCCGGGTATCCCCTCCAAAACCCAGTCTTAGCCATTGGATCGGATTTGGACCGACAGAATAACACAAACTATTGGTCCAACTGAATTGATGCTAAACCGAGTGACCAAAATCCCTGATTTCAACAGCTTCTGTCTTCCTCCCTGATTTCAGTAACTTCTAGAACCAACCAACCCCCACCTTCCACCACCATCAGCATTACCTTCTCTCCACATCAAAACCCCATCATCTCGAACTTCGATTGGTCGCCGATCGTCACCGCCGCCACTTATATACTTTGTGAAACACAAATCATATATATTAGGTTCGTTAAAATACATAATTATTTTCATTAAACATATAAAATACATTTGGTCAAAACAAAACAATAAATGTATCAATTAATTTTCAATCATAAACTTTATATTGTAAATTAATAAGAACGTCATGATTAAAATTAGGCAGATCATATTTTTTCATTTTAGATTCATTACTTGACTAAAATGATACCTTTAACCCAGATCTAATGGTGTATGTGCATGATTCTTATAAATTTATTAAGACGCCCTAACTAAAGAATTATTCTACATATATTTAAATTACTTTTTATTTAGAAAAAAAAAAAAAAAAATCTTGTGAAGAATTGTTATATACAGGCAAAAACAAAGTCTAAATGATAATTATAAATTATAAATTAAAAAAAAATTATGATAAAATTTGTAACATAATTTAACTCAAAGTTGCAACTCATAGTCTTAAAAACTTTGTCGGAAGTCAATACAAAGAAACAAAACAACTTGATATATTTTAGTTGACGTGTTTGTACTTGTATGATATTTTAAAGGATTAATAAACCTCCCCCAGGTTTACTTGATACACATAAACCTCCTTCAGGTACAGGTAATAACTCCAAACTCCATGTGATCAGGTGGTGAATCAAAGTTTGGGAAAAGGAAATTATCAATTTAGGTATAATATTTTATTAAAACCACTTAAAAAAAAAACATAAGTTTCAAATCTTTCAATTTAGAGACATTCAACAATGAACTAAAATTACCCTTTACATCAAATAGGGATAAACTAGTAACTTTATAATATAAGTTAAGAAAACAAAACAAAAAATAATTAAACTAAAAAAGCATCCATGTAATGAAATACTAGCATGTAAAAATATTTCATCCAATGATAAGCGGTTTGAGAAACGAAAGATATTTTTTTAATAAAAATTAGCTCACGACCTAATCTTATAAATTTTTTCTTATAACTCCGACGTGGTAACTCGTAATTAGACAGATGAAACTTATTGTTGTGCAAACAGGACTTATTATAAGCTGATCAATGCGAGTTATTATGTCGAGATTGTAAGATTGGATTATAAGTATAGCATTACCTTTACATTTTTTATGTAAATATTATCTCATAATGTTTGTACTTGTAATGTCATTGTTTAAACTTTTGGGTCTAAAAATAGTTTAGCTAAACCTTAGGGGTTGTTAGGTTTTAAACTCTAATTATAACAAAATGATTATGTAGGCGATGACGAAAGCAATTTCTCGGTTTCGTAGAATTTATGGCTTCATAAAAACCAACGGTTCATATGCACGTTTCAACAAACAAACAAACATTTTCCTCCACATTTGCTTGGAACTTGAAAACGCAGACTTAGACTAGTTTATATCAGTCTTCAGTCTTCCTTCTCTCTGCTTTTCTCTGTTTGGATTGTTAAGAAAGACAGGTTTCTGAGGATGAATGGACATGGACTTGGGGGTGAGAGAGCTCCTCTGTTGGATCGTGGTGTAAGTTTTCTAATTGCCCTTTTGTTTAAAGATGTTACTTTTTTGGTCTGGTTTCTTTTTTTAGAGCTGCCCATGTTGCATTTGCTGATTTCTGGTTCATAATTTTGATTTTCTTGGATACTTGGTTGGTGGGTCTTTTTGCTTTTGTACTGTTTGTGTAATCTGCATATTCTGTGGAATTTTTGTAAAGATGATTCCTTGACACGTCTAATGCTTGCAAATAGTAAATTCTGTCAATTACTATGAATAGGGCTTTCACTGTGCTTGTTTGTTTGGTTTTATGTTAATTTTTACATGGTATTAGAAGCTTTGCGGGGAACTGGCTATGGACTTGGATTCTATATAGTCTCAATTATGTTTCTCAGGTTTTCTTACTTTTTACTTTCTTTCTTAAATAGGGAAGGAGAAAGAGAAATGATGCTTCATCAAATGATGAATTGACAGACCTTGAGCACGGGGATGCAGTACCGGTAAATGTGGTTTTTGTTTTATCATGTGAATCTTGATATGTATTAAGAAGGGATGACTCATTCTTGAACTTTCAGGCTGCAAACGTGGGGTTCTGTAGAGTACTTGCACTTGTAAGTGGCTGATTCCTGGTGTTTATTGTTGGAAGTAGAATTTAGTCATTGAGAATGTTGAAGTAGTTGACCTTGTATCACATTTCAGGCAAAACCTGATGCGGGGAAACTGATAATTGCCACAGTAGCTCTATTGATTGCATCCTTGTCTAGTATCTTGATTGTATGTATTCTTTGTATTGGTACTCTCTCTTTTCTCAAGTTGAATTTAGAATGATAAACCTGGTTCTTAAATATGTGCTGGTGAGTTTTTCTAAACTTTGAATCAATTGTTCAGCCGAAATTTGGTGGGAAAATAATAGACATTGTCTCTGGAGATACTGGAACACCTGAACAGCAAGCTGCAGCTTTAAACGCAGTCAGGGACACCATCCTTGAGATCTTTCTTATTGTTGTTGTTGGGTATGATAATTTCTTGCTTACTCTCGATATATGAAATATCGGTAAAAGATTTAGTTGTCTTTTGGCTTCCTAATCTGCTATTTGTTCTTAGGGCACTTCTATTTAGAGATTTGCATTGTCGGACACTTGAAGAAAGAACACTCACTGATCATCTGTGTCCCACACTTGTATGGAAAGTTATAGGAGACTTTACCTTCATTTGCTTGATTATGTGTAACAGTTTGAGATTGTGAAACGTATAATAGTAAACAAACACAAGATCCGTGTCCACACTTTACATCTAACATTGTAATTTACAAACATATGCATGCATGATGTGTGTCTAGATATTTGAGAGCTACTGTGTCTAGCACCCTGATAGCTGAGGAGTAATCGAACTGCTTCATTGCTACAGTCACTTTAAAATTGTTACAAAATGTTTTCCAAAGATGCAAGCTTTTATAACAAAATTTTCAAATTATATGGGAGAAACGGATTAGCAGTCACTTTCTAGTGCATAGATCTCTTGAAACATTAACTATGTAAACAAGTAACTATTTTTTATCCTATTCATATTAATGGCATCTTATAATTTTTACTTTTTTGTTTTCCAGGTCAGTTTGCACAGCACTGCGAGCATGGCTGTTTTCTTCTGCAAGTGAAAGGGTTGTTGCTAGGCTGAGAAAGAGTTTATTTAGCCACCTCGTTAGCCAGGTTAAAAAAATCTACCTCTGTCAGCTTAGTTGCAATTTCTCTAAACACTTACGTTCCATCCAGATACTGAGATAGCATGTCTCTTTCTCTTCCTCTTGATAATATGAATTAATCATTAATGTTTAATTGTTTATGGTTGATGTGTTTTCCAGGAAATCGCCTTCTATGATGTTACTAGGACAGGGGAGCTTCTAAGCAGGCTGTCTGAAGACACACAGATCATAAAAAATGCTGCAACCACCAATCTGTCGGAGGCCCTTAGAAATTTATCAACTGCATTTGTTGGCCTTGCCTTCATGTTTGCAACATCATGGAAGTTGACATGTAAGTATATAATCATTGAAGCAATAAGATCTACAAGCTTAATGAATTTCATTATGTTCCTGGGTGATTGATGTGGCATGTAATATGCACTTTAATCTTTGTTCACAGTGTTGGCTCTGGCTGTTGTGCCTGCTATTTCCATTGCTGTTCGTAAGTTTGGTCGCTTCCTTCGTGAGCTTTCTCACAAGACTCAAGCTGCAGCTGCAGCAGCTGCTTCAATTGCTGAGGTTTGTATGTGCCACTAAAAATTGTGACTTTAACTTATAGACCGTAGAACACATACCTGGTGAAATTGTATAACCCTGATTCTGAACACATACCTGCTGGAGTTGTTGGTAGGGAGTTGTCAGAAGAAGGAATTTGATGATCATAATATCTTTTTATTTAAGAATCCACCAACACACAACTATTTTTCTGGTATTATAGCATATGTCTGACAGTCACACCCGCATTGTTCAATTGTTCTTTAGGAATCTTTTGGTGCTATTCGCACAGTAAGATCTTTCGCGCAAGAAGCTCATGAGATATCACGGTACTCAGAGAAAGTTGATGAGACACTGAAGCTTGGAATTAAACAAGCTGTGAGTTTCCTGTTGTCTTTTATCTCTTTCTCATTGCCTCATATAACCGCAGTTGTTTATTGCTACAGAGAGTGGTTGGCCTATTCTTTGGAGGTCTGAATGCTGCATCTACATTATCAGTCATTGTAGTAGTGATATATGGAGCTACTTTGACAATCACAGGTTCCATGACCCCGGGTGCTCTTACATCCTTCATTCTTTACAGCCTCACAGGTAATTTATCTTTGTTTCATGCAAGCAAATTGTGGGGTAGTATTATTTATATGCAATAAGTTCATTATATCATTTTGCTAGATTTTCATCTCCTCATTATCGAATGTCCAGCTGGTTAACCACATTTAACTATTTTCACTTGCAGTTGGGTCCTCTGTATCTGGACTATCAGGATTATATACAGTTGCAATGAAAGCTGCAGGAGCCAGTAGGCGGGTTTTCCAGCTTCTGGATCGAGAATCATCCATGCCAAAGTCAGGAAACCTGTGTCCATTGGGGTTAGTTCATTAGATTCTCCTTTCTCAAATTCTGCATATATGAGTGGTTATGAGAGAAACCATGGTGCAGTGTAAGGAAACTTTTTGGTAAATTTTTCTTTTAATAGTGGTGATCAAGATGGGGAAGTGGAGTTGAATGATGTCTGGTTCGCGTATCCATCCCGCCCAGACCATATGGTGCTCAAGGTGATTCTCATGCTCAACTACTTAGGCTCCGTTTGGTTCATTATTCTGATAGTTTTTAGAATAATCTTTTAAAAAAAGTTAAATTGGGCGGGTATTACGATGTAAGATTTGGAAATTAACAAAAATATCCCTTATGTTTGTTTATTTACTAAATACCCTTATAATAAAATATTAAAAGTTAACAAAAACACCCCTAACTCACCCATTAAATATGGACAGCCGGCCACCACCGCCGGAGGGTGGCTGGAATGTTTTTGCAATTTCTAAAAAAAAATATTTGGGGGTGTTTAGTTAAATTAACAAATTTAAGAGGTTTAAAAAAAATTGAAAAATATAGAATAATATTTTGGGAATAATGACATTTTATTATTTAACTTTTTTGGGAATACTAATAATAGTAATCCTAAAAGCGAAGCAAACGAAGCCTTAGATGTTATGGTGAACACTGTGTATCAGTCTAACTTGTATTCTAATGGAATGTTTGATGGATTTCAGGGTATAACACTAAAACTGCAGCCTGCCTCCAAAGTTGCTCTTGTTGGTCCTAGTGGTGGAGGAAAAGTAATTTCTTTTTATTATAGAAGTTCTCATGTGGTTTAAGTTCAACTATTTTCCATCTGTATATAGTAATTAGTTTTAACTTCCCTCATATGTTTCTCCTGCAGACCACAATAGCCAACTTGATAGAAAGGTTTTATGATCCAATCAATGGAAAAATTCTGTTAAATGGGGTTCCTTTGGTAGAAATTTCACATGAACATCTGCATAAAAAGGTAATATTGGCCTTCATTACAGTTACTGGGAAACTAAAAACATAATATCATGATTGCTCAAATTAATCAGAGTTCTTTTTCTGCTCAACATGATAACTTGTTTAATACATGTCACAAATCCATTGTCACTTCAGATCAGTATAGTGAGCCAGGAGCCTGTTCTTTTCAACTGTTCCATAGAGGAGAACATAGCCTATGGATGTGAAGGTAAAGCAAGCAGTGCAGATGTAGAAAATGCAGCGGTAAGACATTATATTATTATCTTTACTCTGCGGAGATCCATTCTCCTTAAAATTCAGTATCTAATTATTGTGCCGATGGGAATTGCAGAAAATGGCCAATGCACATGAATTCATATCGAAATTCCCAGACAAGTATCAAACTCACGTCGGAGAACGTGGAGTAAGGCTTTCTGGAGGACAAAAGCAAAGAGTAGCAATAGCCAGAGCCCTACTGATGAACCCCAAAATTCTCCTCCTAGATGAAGCCACAAGTGCTCTGGATGCTGAAAGCGAGTACCTAGTGCAGGTCCAATTCACTTTCATTGCTTCACATACTACCATTTAGAAACCACCTTTTTTTTTCCCAATCATTTAAGTTCTGAATTTGCTTTTCTGCACTATGTAGGATGCCATGGATTCTCTGATGAAGGGAAGGACTGTTCTCGTTATAGCACATAGGCTATCGACAGTGAAAAGTGCAGACACTGTGGCAGTTGTTTCTGATGGTCAGATTGTAGAAAGTGGCACTCACGATGAGCTCCTTAGCAAAGATGGTGTATACACTGCATTAGTAAGGAGACAACTACAAGGACCCAAAACTGAAATTTAATTTCAAACATGTTATGTATAATTAATATCACAGATAGACCACATGTGTAAGCAAGGTAGCAATAGTGTTGAATCCAACAATAATATCAATGCTTATGCTATACATATCCATCCCACTCTGGCTGGCACATAAAATGTCCCGTATTACTTGGCCAGAATATATCCGGCAGGTTGTGCTATTCATGCTTGGGCTTCATTGTTAAGCTGTTTGGCATCGTCAATATGATTCTAGGTTCCGTTGCACTTCAAATGTTTACTTCTGTCCCCAGTTTGCAAAAGATAAATTACCTCTGATATTTGAAGCACTGCCTATATTGTAATTTCCTATGTGACTGCTAGGAATTAAAATTGTAATACAGATTATGAACAGTCCTGTTTCATGGAACTAACATAGGCTACATCAACTCAGTTAAATGTCATCTATCAATCATGCACATACACTTTTCTAAGCCAATCTGTTTTAACAATTTATATGGTTGAAAGCTGCTGAGAGATTTACCAGTATTTAGTTTGAGATGATAAGAAATGTATGAAACAGAAAACTTAGGCAAGCATAGCTTGGAAGGCCAAGGGATTTTGCGATACAAACTTGGCATTTGAAAGAAACAATCAAGTTGGATAATTTAGCACATTGGAGAACGGATGGAAACATTGTATATAAATTAATATCAAGTCAAAATTCTCATTGGGGAAAAGATAAAATGTTCGTTCCATCCTGAATCTTGAGAAGAGGGAAAGTATATAGTAGCAAGTTTCAATAACTGCCTCTTATGTTACTATAGCAAAACATTATTTTTAAGTATATGGCACTCTACCAAATAAAAAATTATACACATGGAAATAACAACAGTTAGGCACACATGACCACAAAAACTATAAGGAATCAACATTAATCCACTCAAGCAACAGTCACAGAGTGCAGTATGGAAAACATTCAAATAGATCCACTCAAGCAACAGTCACAGAGTGCAGTATGGAAAACATTCAAATAGGTTATACAAATATACCTTGAACTAGGAAGAACATACATGATAACCAAAGCAGGTTGCAGATGTGCACCACTAAGGCATTTGGTCAGTGTATCAAACTCTCGATATCATGTCAGGATACAGAAGTAGTCAATAGAGAACTTAGAAACAGTTCATTCAAAGTGGAACCCACACAAAAAGGATCCCATTTCTTAAATCCGATTTGAAAAATGAGAACTTGTTGGATAATGAAGAACGATTGTTTAATCAATAAGCTCCTCCTCTCTAAGCCAGCAATTCCACATAAGATTTCATGTTTTTCACATCTTCTTTTGACTGTGGATAACTTGGTGGTTTAAAAAGCTTCCATAGTCCTACCGGATGTCTGCACTTATCTTCACCTCCCGAAAATCTTCCAAACAATTTTTCACACTCCGGATAAGGCTTTACGTATAGATTATAGAATCTAAGCCTACTTGGTTTTATCAAACCTCTCAATCCCAGTTCAGAAGCAAGCCCACCTTTTCCCCTCAAATACTCGATCACATTGTAGCGAGGAATGATTTGTTTTTCAAAATTTACACCTAAAAACTCTGGCACATCAGCCAGGCATCCAACGTTATATTTCATCCTATGCACCAAGAATTCAATCTTTTTCTCTATGTCTGCTATCTCATATAAAATCACTCTCGGCTCTTTCCACAAAACCTTAAAGGCCTCTCTATGGATCAGCCCATGTTTGCATAAACAATCAACTCTCAGTTTCACTTCAAACCCAGCTCTAAAAGCTCCCTCACTGAAAATTTTCTCTTTTATTGGTTCCCGGCATTGCAAAGTCCTTAACAACTCTAAACACCGCGAAAATTCCCCTAACTCCATGCTTAGTATTCTTGGCTCTCTAACAACCTCTTTCCTAATCATATCTTCGCTAAAACCCCATTCCCAAAATTCATCAAGCAATGGTTTTAGCCTATCTTCCACTCCAAATCCCAAAAGCCCTGGAAACAAATAAAAAACTCGTTCAATCGCTTCCCTAGCAATTCCAATCCCCTCCAAAAATTCAATTCTCCTACAAATTTGACTTTCATTCATCAAAATCACTCTAGGAAACCCCTCTAAAACCCTATTCACAGCTCCTTCACTAAACCCTAAACCCTTCAAAACCTTCACATTTTCAAAAACTCCATCTGGGTTTATCTGGAACCTTCTCGAAAGTTCCAAAAAATTCCTAACCACCAATGGAGAAACACTCAAATCCCCAAACTTTGAAACACCCAATTCCCATTTCTTCAAGAACTGAACATCCAAAACCCCGGGACAGTCATTTATCAATGAAACAATAGACTTCTGAGGAACCTTTAATGACAAGAGAACACTTAAAGACTTTTCAATGTCATTTAAATTAGAATTCAATAAAAACTTATTCTTGGAAATGAAACCGTGGAGCTGAGAGGGAGAAAAACCATACCTTTGAAGGAGATTTGCAAGGAAAACTTGCTTTCTGTACTGGGATTTGTGGTTAGAAAGTGAAAATTTTGGAGTAATTCCAAATGAAGAACTACTGGGTTTGGTGGAAAAGAATAAACGGGCATTTGCAGGGATGATTTTACAAGTTTTAGGGAAGCCACGGAGGGTTGACATCAAAGATTTCAACTTCGTTAAAATGCTCTCAAATTCAACTACATATGTGTAAGATAGTTTTTATAATGTACATTATCATCTATTCTATATGATAAAATAATGAACTTTTATAAATAAAGAGTAAACGACATGTTTCCACCCGGTTTGGCGTAATGCTAAGCGGATGCCTCCAGTTTATTCCAGATTTTCAACTTTAAACCAACTTTGTTTTCTTTATTTTAATAATAAAAGGGTAAAATAGTCTTTACTCTATTTTAAAATTAAAAGGACAAAATAACCCTAAAAAACCTTAAACCTCAAATTTCTCTCCACCTCCACCTTCACCTTCACCTTCACCTTTTCATCTTCTGCTTTCTCTCATCTTTGTCAGTGTTGCCGCTGACCATTTTTCGGTCCTTTCTGGTAATGAAGCCCAGATCTAGCCGTGACTATCCATCTCCCTCTTGCATTTCTCCATTTTTTTTCTTCTTCACCGCGCAATTTTGCCTTTCCCATGAGTGCACGCCCAACCGCTTGATTCTGGCGTCGCCAGACACCCCCATCACCACCAATCACTTCCCCTTAACCAAAACACCAAAACCCCTCATACCCCTATCCAAGAGAACCCCTCAATCGCCCACCACAAATCTAGGGTTTGCATGATTTTTCCATTTTTCCTGTCGATTCCGACAACAGAAATCCCTCCCGTCACCGCCATTCACCTCACCAGCCTCCCCTCTCGAAAACCCCTTCCATCCTTGACAGTCATTTGGTCGCCGTCCATCACTTCCCTATCTCTTCGCGCCATAGCTGGGTTTGGGTTGATTTGGAGCTTTTGTTTTGAGTTTGATTTGCTGCGTTTTTGTTGTGTTTTGGAGTGAATTTAATTTGTTGTAGGTTTTTTTCTGGTTGTTTTCCCCACTGCCACTGATTTTTCGTGCCACTGCCGTCTCCCACCACCTGTGTTTTGGAGTGAATTTGATTTGTTGATTGATTGTAGGGTGGGCCGATTGCGGTAGTGGTTTGGAATGGGGGTAGTTTGGTTGGTTGTGGTGGCGGTTTGGGATGGGGTGGCTTAGAATGGACTATGGTTTGGAATGGGGTGAAGGGCAGTTTCGTAATGGCCTATCACAAAACCAAACCGTCACTAACAACGTTCATTTAAGGGTGGGGATTTGGAATAAATGGAACTGAGGGTATCTGCTTGGGATTTTGCCAAACTCGAGTGGGAATATGTCGTTTACTCATAAATAAATTACAAAGTTTATAAACAAATTATGGTCATTTCTTTATTTATTTATTTTATTTAGGTGATTTCTTTTGCATTATTGATTAATTTTGGGTTGTTGATGTTATAAGGAAAAAAAGTTATTTAAAAGGTTGTTATTTGAGGTTGTCAAAACTATTTTTAAACGTTATATTAAAATTAAATTAAGCAAATAAAATCAGACACACGCCTTATTTTATTATTAGTTTTATTTGCTCCCTTTCTTATTTTAGCCTTCATACTTGAATTCTAAATAACATAAAAATATTACGTGTATAATTCAATTTCACGATCTTCTCTTATAACTTTAACGTGGCAGAAGAGTTGGCACTACCATGTCAACTAAAGACTTTGATGGTCATTTCTTAGAGACAAACAAATTTTTTTTTTTTTTTTTAAACGAACGATCGTTCATTCATAAGGAATGACTATTCCATTCATAAGAAAAAATCATTCCTCATTAAGAAATTGTTGTTTGTTAGGCCCAAAAATCGTCCTTGGCCCAAATAGGAAAACAGGACCACCAGTGAGGAAGAGGTTAGGCCCAAGCCCAAAGAGGCCCAAGCCAGATTAGTCCTATTTGATACGAGATACGGCTTGCCCAAACCATCTGGGCACGGGCCTCCTAGTTCCAGTTCACTTCCTGGGCCGGTAGGCGAGTTCAGAGTCCACAGCCCCTATTAATAACTTTCCCGTTCCTGATCAATCTCCTATTCGAAGTCACTTTCCTGTTCCTGATCACTTTCCTACTCAAAGTGGGTTTCCTGTTCAAATCACTTTCCTATTCGAACGTAGTTAAGACAGCTCACCACCGCCCTAACTCTTCTAGGGTTTGCATCAGAGTTATACTAAGACTCCTACTCCCACCAGGATTGGGAGACCAGACAGTCGCTATATAAACAGAGGCCAACCCTCTCACAAGGAACATATTACATTACACCTTCACAGCCGAAGCTCCTACTTGAGAGCTTCACATCACCGCCGTAGTCACAGTCTCCGACTAGACTTCCGGTAACCTCTCTACTCCCTAGCTCTTACTATATTAGCCTCTTTCAGCCTTGCTGACTTGAGCGTCGGAGTGTCTACGGCAAACACCATCCTGGTGTTTCCCGTTCGCTTCATGCGTTTGTTTCTCTACGTGTGCAGGTGCAGCAGATCGCTAGTGGCCTCAACCTCACGGGATCAGACCCCCTTTCCGTACAGGTAGATTTTTACGTCTACAGTTTGACGCCCACCTTGGGGCCTCTAGCAATCATTCGGCTCAACGAACCTTGCTATGTAGAGGAACTTTCCATGGCTGACAACTCCGACAACGCTAACCCCGGCCTCGAGGCCAAACTGAAGGCTCTGACCGCCCTCATACAACAGAACTCGGATAAGGTAGCTGCACTGGAAGCCAAGAACAATGCAATCCGGACCGAAAACGCATCCATCAGAGTAGAAAACCAATCTCTTAAGAAGAAGGTGAGTCAATTCTATGATCTGGAGTTTCTGCCTAGCCAAGCACCCCCCAATCGGTTCCGCGCCCCTGTTCCATCCATGCAACCTCTCCACACACCAGAGCACCGACCCTCAGTCTCCAGCAAAAGGCCGCATAAGTTAAACTCATAGGCGATCGACGATTCTGTCTTGACACATGGAGATAAAGATACACCAACAGAACACCATTCAGCCGACCCATCCCAACCTCAAGATCAAGACAGTCCAGTGACAGAAAGCTCGAACCCACAAGACCAACTCATCCTTACCGTCCTATCTTACGTCCAGTCAACCTTCCCAACACAAACCCAATTCGGCTCGGCTCACCCCCACGGGTTGAACGGTCAAACCCAACAAACCACATCACTCGAGCCCATACATCCTGACGGACCGAGTGACTATTAGACGACTCCACTGACCATTCATGTAGGGCGAAACACCAGAACTGTTACCATGGGAGTCATCCAACCAGAAGGAATGAACGAAGATCCAGGCTACCAGGGTGTGCACAAAGCAATGAATCACCAAATCACACTACGCGGGATGGTCCAACGGAATGTGCCGAACACAATTGCAAAGGTCGACCCGGTCAAACGGGATGACCTAGTGGCTTCCCCTTCCCCTATGGAACAGGTATTAGCCAAGAGATTGGCTGATGTGGAAGCAGTGATGAGACGCATCCTAGGAATGCTGGTCCCAACCAAGAAGAGCAGGCCCCACTGTTACGCGGATTCACCCTTCATGGATGAGATCACCCTAGCTGACATGACTTAGAAGTTTACCATCCCCAACATGAAACTGTACGACGGCACAACCGACCCAAACAATCACATAGCCTCGTACAAGCAGCGGATGTTCACCGTCTCAATACCCGGACCACTGAGGGAAGCTGTATGTGCAAAAGTTTCGGTTCGAACTTATCCGGCTCGGCACTCTAATGGTACACAAATCTCCCGAACGGATCCATCGACTCATTCGCCCAACTTACTGACACCTTTGTGGAATAGTTCGCCAGTAGCAAGAAACTCGAGAAGCTGTCGGCCGACCTAAACAGAGTATACCAGAGAAAGGGCGAGCCACTGAGAGAGTATGTCAGCAGGTTCAACAAAGAGAAGATTTCCATCCCTACATGTAACCTTGAGACAGCCATAGATGCCTTTAGGAAAGGTCTCCTCCCAGACGGAGAACTATACAAAGAACTTACAAAGTTGGGTTGCACCACAATGGAAGACGCCTTGGCCCGGGCAGTGATCCAGATAAGATGGTAGGAGGATGAGATAAACCGGATGATTCACTCCAGATACGATTCAAGGTGGAATGACAGGAAGCCAGAGCATAGCCCAGTGGAGCACCGCTACCAAGCCCCAACACGCAGTTTGAGCAGAGTCAGAAAACCATATGATTGCCAGCTAATAAGAACCGAGAGTAGACAGTTCAGATTGAACCGGTATAAAATACCGGAGTACAGCCTCAATGTCGAACCAACCCAAGTCGTCGCGATTATGAAAGGAATGAGATCCACCGTTAAGTGGCCAAGCAAGCTCAACCCCAAAGCAAGGAGAGACAAGACTAAATGGTGCGAGTTCCATGGCGATCATGGGCACAACACCGCAGACTGCATTGCCTTGTGGCTAGAGGTCGCTGCACTTCTAAAGAGGGGACATCTCCAAGATTTGCTAACTGCTAAGAGGAAGAACACCATTAGCCACAAAAGTTCAAAAGAACCATCACCACCTCCGCGAGAACCCACACCAAAAGGATTCTGTTCGCTCATCTCCGGAGGATCAGAGATCAGTGTGGTAAGTTATTCATCAACTAAACGATATGCCAGAACCAACCACCACCATGAAGTCCAGTCCATCCATCTGGTCTCAGGGTCACACACCCATCACGTAATTCAATTTGAAGATGACGAGTCGGTCACCTTGGCCGCTCCTCATCACGATGCTCTAGTCATCTCCCTGCAGATCGCCACATCCTAGTGAAAAGAGTATTCGTAGATGGAGGCTCTTCAACAAACATCATATTCCTCGAAGCAGTGAAGGCTATGGGACTGGAAGAGGCAAACATCAACAGGCGACCGACACTACTAGTTAGTTTCAGCTCTGAGCATAAGTATACTATCTGGGAGATCATCCTCCCTATCTACGCTGGCGAAGTGAACAAACATACCGTTTTTCTGGTAATCGACTGCCCCTCACCCTACAATATCATCTTGGGCCGACCTTGGATCCAAGACATGCGGGCAGTCCCATCTACCTTCTACCAGATGATCAGGTTTCCAACCAAGTGGGGGTACGATAGATCAAGGGCAACCCTAAAACTTCCAGAGATTGCTACAAGAAGGCCTTCAAAGGCAAGGGTAACTCTTCATAGCAATTACAGTCTCATCCAACCCCTCCGACCAAACCGGATCAACCATCTATAGAAGAGTTGGATGAAGTACAGATACATCCGGACGACCCCGAGAGAAAGACACATATAGGGTCCCGCCTCAAGCCCGAGACAAGAGAGAAGCTGATAGAATTCCTCAAATAGAACCAAGACTATTTCGCCTGGTCCCACACCGACATGACCGAAGTCAGTCTGGAAGCAATGGTCTACCAGCTCAAGGTAGACCCAGATCACCCACCAGTGAAGCAGAAGAGAAGGAAATTCGCACCAGAGCGTAACTGAATTGTCAATGAAGAGGTCGAGAAGCTACTGAGCAATGGTATGTTCAAAGAGGTCCACTACCTCGAATGGCTAGCGAATGTCGTGGTCATAAAGAAAAAGAACAGAAAGTGAAGAGTGTGCATCGATTTCACTGACTTAAACAAAGCCTGCCCCAAGGACTCCTTCCTGCTCTCACATATCGACATGATGGTTGATGCGACCGCAGGTCACGAGCTCCTTAGTTTCATGGACGCCTTCTCAGGATACAACCAGATCTTAATGCACCCGGACGACCAGGAGAAGACAACCTTCATCACGGAAAGGGGGACCTATTGCTATAAGGTGATGTCATTCGGCCTCAAGAACGTCAGGGCCACCTACCAGTGGCTGGTCAACAAGATGTTTGTCGAGTACCTCGGAGACACCATAGAGGTATACATCAAAGACATGCTCGTCAAGTCACTGACAGCCGAACAGCACCTCGACCACCTCAGCCAGGCATTCGCCGTCCTCAGGAAGTACAACATGAAGCTAAATCCTGCCAAGTGCTCATTTAGGGTCTCGTCAGGTAAGTTCTTGGGCTACATGGTGACTTAGCGAGGGATAGAAGCTAACCCCGACTAAATCAGAGCAATCCTTAGCATACCATCTCTGACTTGTATCAAAGACGTCCAACGCCTGGCAGGACGGGTGGCCGCCTTGAGCCGTTTCATCTCCAGATCAGCCGACAAGTGTCATCTATTCTTCCTTGCTCTCAAGAAGTCCAAGAAGTTCGAGTGGACCGCCTCCTGCGAAGAAGCCTTGCAACAGCTGAAAAGATACATGACCTTCCCTCCGCTCCTCTCCAAACTTGGGGACGGGGAGAAGCTCTACTCTTACATAGCAGTCTTAGAGATAACCATCTCAGCAGTATTTGTTCGGGAAGAAGAAACGAAGCAGTTGCTGGTCTATTATGTAAGCAAGTCACTCCTTGAGGCAGAAAAACGGTACAGTCAGCTGGAAAAATTAGCCATCGCCCTCATCCATGCATCCAGGAAGTTTAGGCCATACTTTCAGTGTCACTTAATAGTTGTACTCACCTCTTTCCCACTCAAGAAGATACTGCACAAACCAGAGCTATCAGGCCGACTCCTTCAGTGGATAGTAGAGCTCAGTGAGTTCGACATATCATACCAGCCTTGCACCGCCGTCAAGTCCCAGGCGTTAGCTGACTTCATTACTGATTTCACCCCGAATACCACCACCCAAGCAAAGAGTGAGTTGTTATGCATGAACGGCGGACCACCCTCCAAGTGGACTCTCTTAGTGGACGGCTCGAGTAACGTAAATAGAAGCGGACTTGGATTAGTACTGATTGCGCCAGAAGGAGACATAATCCAGCGGGCAATACGGTGTGGGTTCAAGTGCACGAACAACGAAGCCGAATATAAAGCCCTCATAGCTGGACTTTCCTTAGCCAAAGAAATTGGAGCAAAAAGACTAGAGGTGAAGTCTGATTCTCAGCTCGTGGTCAATCAACTGCAAGGCACGTATCAAGCACGTAACTCAAAGATGACGTCTTACTTGAGTATTGTCAAGGAGCTGCAGGCCCAATTCGATGAGTTCTTCATCGTCCAAATCCCCAGAGCGGAGAACTCCCATGCTGATGCCCTTGCCAACCTCGGCTCTGCCCTCAAATGTTCTTCCTAGTCATCCATCCCTCTATTATTCATGCAGTGGCCCGCCAACTGGAAGGAACAACAACCAAACAAGCCGCCCGAGGAAGCCATGGGTGTTGAACTAGCCGACTGCCAGATGACTCCCATAGTGAGATACTTGGAACACGACGAACTCCCAGCCGACAAGAACGAGTCACAACGACTAAAAGCAAGAGCCGCCAGATTCACCATACATGAAGGTCAACTCCTTAGAAAGTCATTCTCGAGCCCCTATCTCAAGTGCACAAGCCCAGAAGAGGCCCAACATGTCCTTGCCAAGCTACGTGAAGGCGAATGTGGAAACCATGCTGGGGGACGCAGCCTTGCACACCGGGTGATCACTATTGGATTTACTAGTCGACCATACGCACCGATTCGATCGCTTATGTGAAGAAGTGCGACAGTTGTCAGAGGTTTGCTCATGTCTCACACCTCCTACTAGAGCGACTTCATTCCATCCTCACACGCTGGCCCTTTATGAAGTGGGGAATGGACATTGTGTTAGTAAACGACCCAGTTACGCAGCGGAAAACAAAAACATAAACTCTGTGGATCGTTCCTTAGAACCAAGATTCGGGTACAAAAATCACAGTTTATATAAAATAATCAAATCTGTAGAAAATTAGTTCAAGGTTTAAGAAACCATACCCATGTTTAGAGGCTCCACCAATATTGTCTCTGAACGTGTTTGCTACCGATTCAAGTGTAGGATCGAACCATAGAGGTCCACACGAAGACAATCAACAAGAACCAAGGAGGGATTTGCTAGATCCTCCTTGGCCTTAAGAAATCAAGAAGAAAACAAAAAAAAAGTGTTTGATTTTCAATCAAACAGTAAAGTGGCGTGGGAGAGTATTTGGGGCTTAAGGGTTTTTCCTTTTCAATAAAAAATGAAATAATAAAATAACACACACATCTTTTCAACTAAAACTTTTCTTTTATAGTGTTCTTTTAGTTGCCCTATTCCCATATGGAATGGGCTTGGGCTCCAACCCAAACACCCCCAAATTGGCCAAACACTCCCAATTAGATATTTTAATTTAATTCATTATTATCTCAATTAAAATCAATTAATATTTAATTAACATTTAACAATAATGATGATTTAATTAAATATGTGCAGACACACATTTAACCATAATTTCACTTATTTAATTTTTCTAGCAAATTAAATAAAAGGCTACAACCTCAGCAAATTTAATTGCACTGTGAAATTACCAAAATACCCTTTCACCCAAAAAGAAGAAAACACCATTCTTTCTTCTTGGCTCTTAAATTATCTTCTATGTGTGTGACCCATAGGCTTCTCATCATACCGGTAGTGTATAGTATCGCGATTAACACCAATTAATCGTCTCACTAATACACAGACCAAGATTGGCCCCTAGCAAGGCATCATGGCCACCTGATAGATTCAGATTCAGCGAAGTAGCTACCTGTCAATGATATGGTTACCGTACAATTCGATCCTTTCATCATACGTTATCTCGACGAGACGAAGGCATAGAAATAGTGTCAACCTTTGATTACTCTCGATATTATGTATTCAGTTTCTGGACCAATGACCCGTATTATAATCTGGATAGAGCAACAACTCAATCTCACTGTGGCCACAGTTTTAGTGTCATTGCCATATAATAAATTGCGCCGTGAGATAACTTCTCCCGTACCCGGGAGTGATGAATCCTCTGTCAATCCACCATAATCTTGATACACTCCTTGATACAGTCAATCACCACCGTACTGACAGCTCTGAATAGAACTGCGTTAGGCTAGTGTCAAACTATACCAATTGGTGCACAAGGCGCTCCGGTGATCTCAAGTCTAAGGATCACATGCACCACCATTCGTTAGAGGATTTGTTCCATAGACATTGGGGTTACCATCCATATGGAATCCTCTGGTGGGTCAGGCTAGTGAACTTGCTGCGGTATATTCGCCTACAACAAGCACTCATGTGTTGCACCAGGTTGTCACCAAACAACCTTGACAAGTGAGATCAGTCACTGCCTTTCGACAGGGTCGTTCAACACTATGATAGCCTTACCGTATTATCTGTGCCCTTACTTCAGAATAATACTGGGGCTACGGAAGTTTCTAGAATGACCACCATATGTGCTCATAGGGTTCTCACTATCAAAATTTGAAACACTTGATACCCTCGTCACGGTTCTACCATTCTAAGGGCATATATCAATACATATTGCAATAATAATGATTTACGCGATATAGAATAAAATGCCTTTTATTATTGCTTAATAAACATTATTACAAAGAGTCAATTCTACAATAATTGATTGGCTATTGATTGGCTCTAGGGCATCGACTCTAACACATCGTGGGAAAACTACTGACTGCACCCAAATAGCGAGTATTCATGTTAGCTGTGACAGACTACTTTACCAAGTGGATTGAAGCCGAAGCCTTCGCACAAGTCAGAGACTGAGGGGTAAAAGCCTTCATCTGGAAGAATGTCATCTGTAAGTTCGGGATACCGAAGGAGATCGTCACCGATAATGGATCCCAGTTCATCAGTTCAGGCTTCAGGGATTTCTGTGACGTGGGGAATAAAACTGAGCTTCTCAACCCCCCGCAACACCCAGTCTAACGGCCAAGTCGAGTTGTCAAAC